CGCGTGTGTCATTCCTTTCACAGAAAGCGGTGAGAAAATCCTACACAACGGTAAGAGTTTGGTTGTGGTGCTTACACGTTTACACTCGGTGTAATAGTTAGTTCGATACTAAATTTGCCATCTGAATAAACAAAGAGCACTGGTCGCTCACTTACCAAATCTGTAGAGACAGGACAATCCCCAGCAACTAGAGCCGCGTCTTTATTAAGAGGAGACGAGCAGCAAATCCGGATCTCACCATTTCCAGATGAGAAAAGCTCTCGGGTAAACAATGATCCTTAGACACGTATTGTTGTCGAGCGTCGCGTGCACTGTTAATCCACACGTGAGTCCAGCAGAGCTCTCATAGAGAGAAAATGACAACAAAACCTTCACTGCATGCTTGTTTTGCCAACACAACGTGGCGTCTCTCTGCCGTCTAAACACTGTAACAGTAATGAATATTAATGAAGATGCACAATAGAGCGCGCTGATTGGTTTGAACCAAGCCTTACTCATGCATTAATGCATCACACTCGGAGACGTAATACGGTACTCCCAGACGTCCAGTCTACATGCTGGAAGACACGCTTAGATCTCATGGCCATGATGCAGGTTTTAGTTTCAAACCGGAAATACGAATTTGCTCAAAATAACGCAAAAACAACCAATTTTCCCTTTTTAGTGAAATATATGTGTCTTAATAGTGTTTTTAACAGTGTGGGACACATATACGACTGTCAAATGCTCTTGAGGTTTTGGTGTTTCATGACCCTTTAAAATCAACACCATATATTTAAACTACATTTCAAGAGTTCACACTTAGATAGTGCTTGACTATTTAAGCTAGTTTGGCATGCTGTCCCGGGAGAGAACCCTGAGCTCGGTGATAGATGAGCCCAAGGCTCCCGCCTGGTCAATAAGCATTAGGAGGGATATGAGATCAGGTAGTTCTCGATAGCTCCCAAAATAAATCGCTATTGCGCTAATTTGTAGTATGTGCTTGTGACTTTAACTTTGCATGGTTTTTTGGGTGTGGGAGGAAACCGGAGTACCCGGAGAAAACCCACGCGAACACGGGGAGAACATGCAAACTCCGCACAGAGAGTATCGGTTGGCTCAGCTAGTGTTGAACCAATGACCTCCTTGCTGTGAGGCAACAGTGCTAGCCACTGAGCCGCCGTGACGCCCGAACTGAGGAGGAGGGAGAAGGGAAGGATGGGGGGGTTTTCCAAAAACGAAGATGAGGAATGGAGTTTAGGTTGGATATTTATATTAAATTTAGAGTGACCCGATTGGCTAGTTAGTGATTAGTGATACGGATCAGCTGTAGTCAATTCTATCACGTGCTCCTCTCGAAATTAGTTTGGGAAACTTCACTTAGTAAATGAATGGTTTATTTTTATGAATTTGTACAGTTTCTTTTGCATGCTTTCGCAACTACATCGGAGGATTTGACCGGTCTTCATGCTTACATTTTCTAAATATTAATAATAAATAAATAATCCACAATTCATACAAACTTGCCGTCTCGTGAAATACTGAGTACTGTTGACTTAAATATAGCATTGTGTTTAATCTCTTATCACCGCTGTGATCTCTAGTGTTGTTCTGCTTGATGTTAGTACACATGTCGTGCAGTGCATATTTGCTAGCACATGTAAACAGTGCGGAGTTTCTTCAGGGGGTTGGTGCCTTTGATTTCAGTTTATCAGCTTTTCATATTTCTTTATCTTTTTGAACATTTTCCCCTGATCAACCCCCTGAAGCTGGTCTGCACTCACTTTTGGTTAAATTGTCTAAGAATTAACCTTGATATTTTTTCCACTGGGAAAGTTTTATTTACCTTTCACCCTGTCCCTATACAGGTCATTATATTACAGGGAAAGTGACGGCTCCGCTCCAGCCCTGATTTACCTTTTATTCTGTTTCGTGACATAGGCGAAGGACATTTTTGATGAAACCGGCCCTCTTTCCGGTGCCCCGGATGAGTGAATCTGCTTTATAAAAACACATATGGATGTTTAAGGTAGTTTGAAGGGCATGTGGGCTGTGAGGCTCTATTAGCGCTCCAGTGTTCTGTACATGATGTTACTGTACGTGTTTCACTCTGAGTGCTTCAGTACAGGGGTTAAACTAATGTATTGGAGATCTTACTTGAAGGTGTGTATTTTTTTTTATCTTTATCTTTATAGGTTAAATCTCTTGCCTCAAACCCTGCCTCAACAAAACCATGAGAAAAACATGTTTAAAAGAAGATGCTCAGCAATAGAAGATGCAACCGTGTGAACACACTTTGTTATTAGCCTCAACAAAGAGTGTTTCCATTAAAAGCTAATACATATGCCTCGTTTCAGAGAAGAAAGTTGTGCTGTAAATCAGTGATGAGTTCTGGTTCAAAGCAGTATTTACTAAATACACATATTTAGTGTAAAAAGGATAAAATCTCACTCTTTTCATGATAAATCTGGAGTGCTTTTTCAATTCAAACCCAAACCAATTTGGCCATGCTTTTAGTTACATATGTTATATACCAAAATCACGATGCAACTGGATGCAGGTGATCAGTAGGAGATGATGGGTATGGGAATTTGGCCAGGACACCCACATAACAAAATACTATAGTAATTTATAGTAAATATACTATAGTGTTTTTGAACCATACTATAGTAAAGTGCATTAAACGGTATATACAGTGCTCAGCATATATAAGTAACCCTTCACAAATCTCTCTTTTAAACTCATTTTAAAGAGGAAACAGTAGATTAGATTAGTCAGTACTGAAGCCAAATCTGGAGCTCATCAAATCAAATAATTTATGATAATGGTCCAAAAACTATAGTACTCCTGAATTTATGTTATAGAAAAATAATAAACACAAATTTAAAAAAAGAGGAAAAATTAGGTTGAGAAAAAAAAAGAAAGTTTAAAAAAAGTTTAATTTTGATTCAAATTTAGTTTTCATTGTAGTTAATTTTGTAGGTTGTAATTTAAATTTTGTAGCAATATTTTGCTTGACTTTAATGATATTATCTTTCAATTTCTAAATATGTTTGGTGTCTAAAATATTATATATAAATCTGTTGTTTCAATGCATCAAAATACATTGCCTATATTCACTGAGAAATAAATTAAAATATTAATTTTTTAAATGGGCTGTACTCAATACTCAGCAAAATTGCCCAAACTCAGCCCATTTTAAAAATGAATATTTTAATTTATTTCTCAGTGAATTTAAGTAATGTATTTTGGTGCATTTTTAATTTTAATATTTATACAGAATATAATATTTATAAAGAGGTCAGTATTATTAGCCCCCCTGTTTATTTTTCCCCCAATTTCTGTTTAGCGGAGAGCAGATTTTTTTCAACACATTTCTAATCATGATAGTTTTAATAACTCATCTCTAATAACTGATTTATTTTATCTTTGCCATGATGACAGTAAATAATATTTGACTAGATACTTTTCAGGACACTACTATACAGCTTAATGTGACATTTAAAGGCTTAACTAGGTTAATTAGGTTAAGGTTAGGTTAGGTGAGGGTAATTAGGCAAGTTATTGTATAACACTGGTTTGTTCTGTAGACTTTCGGAAACAAAATATAGCTTAAAGTGGCTAATTATTTTGTCCCCAAAATGGTTTTTAAAACATTAAAAACTGCTTTTATTCTAGCCGAATAAAAACAAATAAGACTTTTTCCAGAAGAAAAAATATTATCAGACATACTGTGAAAATGTCCTTGCTCTGTTAAACATCATTTGGGAAATATTTAAAAAAGAAGAAAAATCAAAAATCTAAGGAGGGCTAATAGTTCTGACTTCAACTATATATATATATATATATATATATCAATCAATGAATGCCAACAGTAGTAAACTGTAATAAATACTGTAGTATAATTCATTTGTACCAGAACAATGTAGTCAATTGTTGTATAACCTTACAGTGGTACAAGTAAACTACAGTGTTTGTGCTACCATAGCAATTCTGACTGCAATAGATTGATTCAAATACTTTACTATGGTATGGTTCAAACACTTGTAGTATTTAAACAACTATAGTATTTATAAATGACTACAGCATTTGTCATGTGTGACCTTGGCTTGTACTCTTTTCCTTCAGTAGGCTGCTTTGACAATCAGCATAGAGCTACATCTAAAAGCTATAACATACAGATGAATTGAATTGTAACCTCTCATCCAACCTCTCACTTTGGTCAAAAACCTTTTGTTTTGGGGATTGTATTTCTCAACATGGATTTTTTGGTGTTTTAAACAAGCCTGGGGATTTTTAAATGATGGATTTGAACTTGAATGACATTTTTCTTACAGTGTTGAAATGCAAAGTGATGCTCTGACGTGTGATGTGGAGTAAACTTTACAGCGCTGTGAAAGACATGGAGGCTGTGAGAGTCTATTGACTGACAACAGAAAGAAAAACTTTTTCAGCATAACAGGGCTCTGTATTCAGTCTGTGTAATGATGTGGGCTGTTTCAAGCAAAATTTGGCTGAAATATGGACAAACCCATCCAATTTAATTCAAACATTTAACCCATACATTGGGTTTGTCCATATTTTGTTCACATTTTTTATTTATTTTTGTCCAAACCTGTGTTTTTTTACAGTAAATAAACAGAAGCAGTTGGATTTATCACATACTAACATAATTTAGTCATCATACTTACCATGTACATGAAAAAGAAATGGTCAACACGAACAAAAACAGGCAGCTAAAATATTTAAGAAAACTGAAAACCAAACAAATGAGGGTAGGAATACACATGAAAGGTCGTCTTTTGATGTGAGTTATTATTAACAAGCCTCAGATCTATTGATAAGACAATAGTTAATAGACCTTTATCTGGGAGTCACAGAAATGACTTACCTGTATAAAAGAAAACGTTCAAGAAATGTTCAGAGTAAATGATACCTGACCAACTCCTCCCTCGTTTCCCAGAACATAGGTGAGATGGGAGGGTATAAATCTGGAAGGCTGCTTTGGACACACTGGCACTTGTCTCCAATCAGCTCCAGCACAGGAGGACTATCCTGACTCCTCAAATCGCTGCATTTTGGATGGGAAATGGGGCTTCTGGTAGGAAGAATGATGCTGCTGGATTCATCATTTAATGTGTTTGATTTATTATTAATCAAACTCTGCATATATTGCATTTATTTAAGCAGATTTGTTATAGGATCTGTTTTATATGTTGTTTTATGTCCGGCAGACAGGGAAAGATGACTATAAAGTGGCGGCGACTTCAGAAGATGGAGTCAAAACGCCTAAAAAAGGGAAAAAGAACAAAAAGGACATGGACGAACTGAAGAAAGAAGTGGAAATGGTATGAAAGTATTCGTGAATAATCTATATATACACAATAAATTAAGCAAACAAGTTTTTTGCTAAAGTATTATATGCATCTTTAAAAATGCCATTAATAGGTGTTTTTTTCATAATAAAAATAATTTATTAATAATTACATTTTCAATTTGTCCTAAAAATGTCAAAGAAGAATAGTGTTAATGGGAGCATAAATCTGCTGAAAATGACTACGAGTGAATATAAACTATTTCATGTTTTCAGATCTTAAATGTTGAGGGATTAAAAAAATATATTTATTTAAACTAAGAAAAGTGTTTTATGAAGGTTTTTCATTGATTAGGATGATCACAAACTAACAATGGAGGAGCTGAGCAGAAAATATGGCACTGATCTGACAAAGGTAGGTCTAATGAAGTAATAATAATGCACTATTCTATGAATGAACGAAAGTGAACTGTGGTGCATAATTATAAAAAGTTAATAGTTAAAAGTTACAACAGAAATACTTTAGATAAAATCCATTTGCCATAAGGCGATGGGTTTACTCACTTTTTAAAGTAACCGTTTGTTTTTACAGTGTACCACTGTTAAAAATGGATCATTGCTAATTGTTGCAAACAATTTATTTAAGCTGAATTTAAACAAACAAATTAAGTGACTAATAAATTGACTTAGTTTTAATTCAGCCCATATAAATTGTTTACAACCGCTTAAAAGTTTTAAAGATCTCACGAGGAAACGTAAGTATTTTACGTTTAGTCAGTTTAGTGGCTTATTCGTACGAATTCGTACAAGTTCAGTCTTATGAAAATGTACGATTTTAAAAAGGAGGCGTGTCCCCCCAACCTCACCCCTAAACCCCACCATCATTGGGTGATGAGCAAATCGTACAAAATTGTACAAATTAGATCGTACAAATTCATACGAATTAGCCACTAAATCAAAGAGTTATGAATTGCCATGAGATTGCGTTGGTAAAACCCAAAAAGTTAAGGTAGCTCAAACCATTTAAGGAAACAGATTGCAACAAACCATTTAAGTTCAAAAACTAATCCTAATGAGTACTGTGAACTTAACCTATTTGAGTTAACGAAGCAATTTGAGCACAGTAAAACCCAATAAATGCCTCATTGGGTGTAAAACCCAGTAAGTTAAGGCATCTCAAACCGTTTGAGGAAACCGATTGTTACAAATCATTTGAGTAAAAAAAAATACTGTGAACTTACTCCATTTAAATTAAAGTAATGAGGTATTTAATTAACTCATTACCTTCAACACTCTTCTCAAAACTCTTTTTAAATGAATGGATTTAACTTTTGAGTAAATTTTGAGTCAACTACACTCATTTCATTTGATAAAGTTTGATAAAGTTGACTGTTTACAGTTTACAGTGAACGAATATTTCTTCAGTGTGCCTGTATTGTTTTGTGAAACAAATCTTTCATTGTGAGGAGAATTACTTAGCTTTTTGTTTATCAAGTTTCATGCTTACCTTTTGTTCATTTAATGCTCCTAGTTAAGAGCATTCAACCTTTTGTAGTGTACAGTATGCCTCTGTTTATCCTCTATCTTTATAACCTGCTGCAGGGCTTGCCTGTTTCTCGAGCGATGGAAGTCTTAATGCGTGATGGACCAAACGCCCTGACTCCACCGGTTATAACTCCAGAATGGGTGAGGTTCTGCCGGCAACTCTTTGGTGGATTTCAGACTCTGCTGTGGATCGGTGCATTTCTCTGCTACTTTGCATTTTCGATCCAGGCTGCAACGGAAGAGCCAGTAAATGACAATGTATGTACAGCATTTTGTCTTTATGTCTAAATTGGCATAGTGTCAACTATATGTCAGTAAAAGTAGTGCCATACTCTATTATAATAAATCTGTTTTGGGAGAAGTTTTGAAGGTCTGTGCTACACCACTGTAATTTTGAGCAAATAAGTTCTTCCATAAACAAGTGTGCTGTAATCTTTGTAATGTGATCAATAACAATCCACATGCATTGTTACAGCTGTATCTAGGAATTGTGCTTACCTTTGTGGTCACAGTCAATGGATGCTTCTCATACTCTCAAGAGGCAAAGAGCTGTAGAATCATGGATTCCTTCAAGAACCTCGTTCCTCAGGTATAAGAAGCTCAAATATTTTTAAAAATAGCTTTCACACAAAGTTAAATGTGTATTTATTCTCGTAATTTATCATCATGCACTGCAGAAAGCCCTGGTTGTGCGTGATGGAGAGAAAAAGATCATTGATGCTGAAGAGGTAGTTGTGGGTGATCTTGTTGAGGTCAAAGGTGGAGACAAAATCCCAGCTGATATTCGCATCGTATCTTCACATGGATGCAAGGTAAAAACTAAAAAAAAATCGCATGCCAAAAATAGTTCGCTTATTGTAGTTTTTATTAAAACATCCCTCCATGCTTTCCCCTGCAGGTGGACAACTCTTCCCTGACTGGAGAATCTGAGCCCCAGATTCGCACTGCAGACATGTCTAGTGAAAACCCACTGGAGACAAGAAACATCGCATTTTTTTCTACCAACTGTATTGATGGTAAAAATTGATGTTGATAGATAAATGATTAAAGTAATAGTTCACCCAAAAAATTCAATTAGCCCATAATATACTTACCCTTACGTCGGACTAGTTTTACATTTTATCCTGGCTCTTCCATGCTGTGTAATAGAGTTGAGTACTGGGCCTTTTTTAAGGCATAAATCCATCATAAACTAACCCATACACCATCAGGGGGTTAACTCAAGTCTAATGAAGCAGATCAATACAAAATAGGCTGATCTCTGACTAGTATGATGCATGACTTAAGAAGCATGTCCCATCATGCAACTGAGTTCAATTATTGAAACTTGCACAATAGATTTTTTTTAAATAATTGAGGTGAACTTTGCATGTTCGAGGAAAGCATGTTAATAATTAGCCTATATTCATGATGTTGCTTTGATTATGTGTGCAATTCAGGGTGCTTTCACACTAGCACTTTTGGTCCGCACCCGGGTTAGTTTGACGTCATAGTACGGTACGTTTAGCTAGTGTGAACGTGTCTTCTGAACTCGGGTGCGCACCCGTGAACCGTACCCGAGTCCGCCTGAAAGAGGTGGTCTGGGGTACGGTTCATGCGAACTCTGGTATGGTTCACTTCTGATGTGAATGCAATCGTACCAAATCACCAAAGTGAAGCGCAAACTGTACAACAAACTTTCGTTTTCATAACGTTCGTTTGTGTTTGTGTGTGTGTCACGTTTTATACCTTGATGACATGCGTGGCACTGAGCCAGGGCAAACACGGTGATACACAGGGATGTCAGCTTGTCTCCTCCAAAACAGCTTCTGCAGACGCTGTGTGATGTTCTGAATGTTGATAATATGTTTGCGGCAGATGGACGCGAGTCCTTTTCTGTATGTCCAAAATCAAAGGCTTCAGTTTAAGCAGAATGACGGCGATGTGCGAAAGTCTTTCCATTTCAGCGCTTGCTTTTGTGACTGTCAACTAGCAAAGGCCGTAAACAAAACAGCAGCTCGATGACGCAAGCACACCGGGGTTCCGAGGAGGTGGCAGGGGGAGACAACTGAACTTGGGTACGGTCCAGGCAAATGAACCAAGTGTGAAAGCACCCTTACATGCGCCAATACTTACTTCCAAGTTTGCTGTGAACCCAACATTAGAGAAGAAGAGCTTTTTTTTTGCACAACCATACTTTTTTGTTTGAACCAGTGCTTAATTTGTGAATTGCGAGGTCCCGGAACAGAGCAGGGTAACAGATCTGGCATGTACCCGAGGATGGAGAGGTGTCCTGCACGAAAGTGTATAGGGGGAGTGATGGGTGTGGTGTCACGGGTGAAAGTGAAGAGGGTTGGGGAGTCGTGGAAGAAAGGGAAAGTGAACAGCGAACAAGGGAGGAGGGCGATTGAGCAGGGAGATCGGTAAAATGAGGTGCTGGATCAGAGTTCAGAGGTGCTGGATCCGATGTGTTCCGACACAAATTAAGCCCTGGTTTGAACTAAATTACATAATCATTATCACCATCGTCATGCATCATGTCCAGTCAGAGATCAGTTGAGCAGTTGTCTAGAAGGAGTAAGGTTTGATGGATTTATGCTCTCGTTCGAAGCTTTGAAAAAGGGCAAATACCCAACAAAATTATACAGCATGAAAGAGCCATGATAAAATTTCTACTCTGAATGTGTTGGCCTGACAGATGAAAGTCGTATACACTTAGGGGGTTGGCTTAAGGGTGAGTAAATTATGGGGTGATGTGGGATGAACAATTCCTTTGAATTCTTTACATGAAATTATGTTAAAACATGACAATATTCAATAGGTGCTGCCAGAGGGATTGTTGTCAACACCGGTGACCGCACTGTCATGGGTCGCATTGCATCACTTGCCTCCAACCTGGAAGGTGGACAAACACCACTTGGCCGAGAAATCGAGCACTTCATCCACATCATCACCGGTGTAGCTGTTTTCTTGGGCACGACCTTCTTAATTATCTCCGTGATGCTTGGCTTTACTTGGCTAGAGGGCATCATTTTTCTTATTGGGCTCATTGTCGCTAATGTACCTGAAGGTCTCCCTTGCACTGTAACTGTGAGTTGGAGAGGTGTTACACTCACTTATAATTGAAGCACATTTCTAAATGTATTAGTTAATGTGTGCTTTCTCTTATAGGTGGCTCTGACTCTCACTGCCAAACATATGGCAAAGAAAAACTGCCTGGTGAAGAATCTTGAAGCTGTGGAGACTCTTGGTTCAACCTCCACCATTTGCTCGGACAAAACTGGAACTTTGACCCAGAACCGGATGACTGTCGCTCACATGTGGTTCGACAACCAGATTCATATAGCCGATACCACAGAGAACCAGACTGGAGCCTCATTTGACAGGAGCTCAGCTACTTGGTCTGCTCTCGCACGTGTTGCTGGCCTTTGCAATCGTGCTGTCTTCCAGTCAAATCAGAGTCATCTTCCAGTGCTTAGGGTATGACATCTTAATTCCTACAGTTTAGAAGTAATGAAAATGTATTTAACACTTTGAATTGTACGAGCTTATGGTATGCAGAGGACCAGTTTTGAGTATGCTGCAATTCATAAGCAAAGTGCAGTAACTACACCTACCTGCTTGCTTACTTACTCCCAGGGCAATTGGTTCGATATTTAGCCACACCATCTTTCGAAACATCTAGTTTTCTTTTGAGGTGGGTTGTTAGCCCAATGCTTATCCCCAAACCATTGAGGACCAGGACATACACACATCAGCTTAAACACAGCTTACCCAATTCAACTACAAGACATCTTTGGACTGTGGGGGAACCGAAGCACCTAGACCAGGGGTGCCCAATCCTGTTCCTGGAGATCTACCTTCCTGCAGAGTTTAGCTCCAACCCTGATCAAAAACAACTAAACTAAGTAGGATATGACGGAGCACTTGGCAAATAAAGACAGGTGTATTTAATCAAGGTTGCAGCTGAACTCTGCATGAAGGTAGATCTCAGGATTGGACACCCCTGACCAAGACAAAACCCAGGCCAACACAGGGAGTACATGCAATCTCTACATAGAAATGCCAACTGACCCAGCTGGTACTCGAACCAGTGACCTTCTTGCTGTGAGGGAACAGCGGTACCCACAACGCCACCTTGTCGTCCCTGCAGTAACCGCACTGTTGGACAAAATTGCATTATCTGCGAGATCCCATTGTGACAAAGGTGTTGGTGTTGTGACCGTCATGTCTGACTGCCTGATGTAAAAACTTTAAAGGTGTTTTAAATCAGTTTTTTAGTGCTTCCAGTTACTGCACTCAGCTTTTGTAGGGCAGTATGGGTAACCATAATTGAGCACTACAGTATGGTTTAGTACAGGTCACCCTGATCAGGCTAGCATTTCCAATATCAATAGTAGCCTTACTTGGTACAGTAGGCGTGGTGTACAATATGCCAGATAGTTGGGATTGACGTCATTCTCACTCAAAGAAAGATGTTCAGGCCATTTATTGTGTCTCGACATGTAAACATCAATGGAGAACATGCAGCAGATCCTATTCTTGCTTGTTTGGCATGTGCTGCTTGTCACATATAGAGTCAGGCATTGTTTGAGCATGGTTCATTGCGGCATGCCGTCATTGTATTATTATGGTGTTTTTAAAAATGGAGCTTCCTGTGTTGTTGTTCCTCTGGCTTGTTGCATGCAGAAGTGACGGTTCTCTGTAAACCAATAGCTTTCAACAGTGAGTCCAAATCTACACTTGTGGTGCCATACTGTTGTGCTTACTCTTGTGCCTAAAAAAGCGCCAAAGTACGGGTGGCTCTTTTGGTTCTTCTAACAGTGGGAATGGAAATAAATGCAGATCATATTGAGATGTCTTAAACTGTACTGCCCAGTGGCAACATGCCAAAGTCACTTCTCTTTTTGTTTTGCAGAGAGAGACAGCTGGTGATGCCTCAGAGTCTGCACTGCTGAAGTGTATTGAGCTGTGCTGCGGTTCAGTCACTGAAATGAGAGAAAACTACCCAAAGGTTGCTGAGATCCCGTTCAACTCCATTAGCAAGTATCAGGTATATTTGCTAAGGTGTACTTTAGAGATTTTCTTAAAGATTTGACTGATTTGCCTGGAGTTTTTAGATTGAGTGGTCACCCTAATACGCCTTTATTTCCCTTGATGTAGCTCTCAATCCATGAGAATCCCAATTCCTCAGAGCCAAAACACCTCCTGGTGATGAAGGGAGCACCTGAGAGAATCTTGGATCGGTGTTCGACCATTTTAATTGAAGGAAAAGAGCATCCTTTAGATGATGAAATGAAAGAGGACTTTCAGAATGCTTATGTTCAACTTGGAGGTCTTGGAGAAAGAGTCCTGGGTAAAAAGTCACCAGTAAAAACACTCAAGTTATGACTGCAGATCTTTAAACCACAGTATTATATATAACTCTGCATTCTCCCTCACAGGTTTCTGCCACTTTGGCCTTCCTGATGATCAGTTTCCTGAGGGTTTTGCATTTGATACTGAAGAAATGAACTTCCCCACTGAGAACCTGTGCTTTGTTGGCCTCATGTCCATGATTGATCCTCCTCGTGCCGCTGTACCAGATGCTGTGGCCAAATGCCGGAGTGCTGGAATCAAGGTGTTTTCTTTATTACAACATCCACTGCTTGAATGAATTACATTAAATGAACCGATTATACATCTGAAACTTCTGTTATAGGTAATCATGGTTACTGGTGACCATCCGATCACAGCAAAGGCTATTGCAAAAGGTGTCGGCATCATCTCAGAAGGCAATGAGACAGTGGATGACATCGCTGCTCGGCTGAAAATCCATATTGATGAGGTGAATCCAAGGTAAACCTATCAACTCAGCCAGCACAAATATAAAATTCAGCTTTCTGTATGTCTACCAACACTAAATGTGACTCTAGAGATGCTAAGGCCTGCGTGATCCATGGAGGAGAACTGAAAAATATGACAGATGAACAGCTGGATGACGTCCTTCAACATCATACAGAAATTGTGTTCGCCAGAACGTCTCCACAACAAAAGCTGATCATTGTGGAAGGATGTCAGCGACAGGTACCATCAGATATATTCAGTAGCTGTTAATAGTGGAGACTTTCATGCGGCAGGTACCAATGTACAATAATTCATTGCTTACTCTTATCAGGGTGCCATTGTAGCCGTAACCGGTGATGGAGTCAATGATTCTCCAGCTCTGAAGAAGGCTGACATTGGTGTGGCTATGGGTATTGCTGGATCTGACGTATCCAAACAGGCTGCTGACATGATCCTTCTGGACGACAACTTTGCCTCAATTGTCACTGGAGTAGAAGAAGGTATGTCATATTTTGGGAACTTCCTTGACTGAATAATTCTGAAGACTCACATCTCAAACATATCTTCCACTTCAGGCCGTCTGATCTTTGACAACTTGAAGAAGTCCATTTGCTACACACTGAGCACCAAGATCCCGGAGATGTCACCCTTCCTCATGTTTGTCCTCGCTGGTATTCCTCTACCTCTGGGCACCGTCACCATTCTCTGCATTGACCTGGGCACTGACATGGTGAGACAAAGTTAATCTACTGTAGTTATATAAATATAGAGAACTTAAAATGGGCATGTTCTCAATTTTATCCACCTGCAACCACAGGTTCCTGCTATCTCCTTTGCCTATGAAAATGCAGAAAGTGACATCATGAAGAGACAACCCAGAAATGCTGCAACTGATAGGCTGGTGAACGAGAGGCTGGTCAGTGTGAGCTATGGTCAAATTGGTAAGTGCATGATTGTCCTGTGTAGTGCACTGTGTGCTTGTGAGTTTCTAACATGTCTTCAAACTGAATTATTAGGTGTGATGAATGCATTTGGCGGGTTCTTTACCTACTTTGTGATTCTTGCTGAGAATGGCTTCTTGCCTTGGGATCTGGTGGGATTACGGATTGGCTGGAATGACAGATATTTCAGTGAAGTGGAAGACAGCTATGGCCAGCAATGGGTAGGTGCCACATATCTACCAAATCTGACAAATGTCAAACCAATATTTCTTTAAAAAATGCCAGTCTCTTTTAAATAACGCTCCTGTGTTTTTATGTCTGATGTAGACCTACGAGCAGAGGAAGGTTCTGGAGTACACATGCCACACCGCCTACTTTACCAGCATTGTGATCATGCAGTGGACTACTTTGCTTGTTTGCAAGTCCAGAAGGCTTTCCCTTGCAAAGCAGGGAATGAAGTATGTTCCCAATAACTCTCATTATTGGCAAATACAGCCCTGATATCCATCAGATTTAATTATATGTTCAGCTTTGGCTTCTAAAAGACCTGTTTGGCCTATTGCAATATTAAAATTTGTACATATTTGCTTCTTTTGTAGAAACCGAGTCCTCACTTTTAGTCTGTTTGAGGAAACTGCAATTGCAGCGTTCCTGTCTTACTGCCCAGGCATGGACATTGCAGTCAGAATGTATCCATTGAAGTGGGTGCAATCATTATATACCTAATATATCTACCTGAATTTCAAGTTAAGCATACATATGGATGAATTAACAATGTTTTCTTCTTTCATTTAGACCTATGTGGTGGTTCTGTGCCTTCCCATATATGATCCTCATTTTCATCTATGATGAAGTTAGAAAACATTTCATTAGGCAAAACCCAGGAGGTAAATATGCATTCATGTCACACATCATCACATTGATTCAGATTGGCTGTTGAACATCCAAATTATTTTTAAAAGAAGTGCACAATTAAAGTAGTTGCGGCAGGTTTTGAATGCATTACAGCTCCATTTCACAGCTATAATAGTCAAAAATCCCATCATGTGTAACGGTGCATTCAATCGGGGATTCAGCGTCAACGTTGACAGAGGGCGTGTCTGAAGTTGGGGCTGGCGCAATCGTCATAGCAGCGTCAACCAATGAAATTAGTCAGCAATCGGCTACTGTCAGAGGCTGAGCTGGTGTATTTGCATACAGCGATCTGATACACTTTTTTTTGAGGAAAAATGTTTCTATGTATGGTTTTTTAATAACAAGTTTAACATTGTTAAGTAAATTACGAAGAAAATTACTTGATTAATTAAAAATATACACAGGATTTGTTGATTTTTGTTCCAAATAGATTCAAGTTAATGTGTTTCTGTTATAAAACCCTAAGTTTCATGTCTATTTATTAACACTCCACTTAGTGCTCTAAATTTTTACATATTATATAAAAAAATTTAGTTTTAAAGTAAAACGAAAATCATCTAAAGGAATATGTTGCTGTTAATTTCATGAGTAAATGAGTAATATAAGTAATTATGTAACTATATATATATATATATATATATATATATGTGTGTGTGTGTGTTTGTGTGTGTGTGTGTGTGTGTGTGTGTGTGTGTGTGTGTGTGTGTGTGGATCTTAGCCTGATTAGGTACTTTTACTTCGACAGAGGAAGTCCTGTTTAAAATTATTTATTTATGTAACATTCAACACAATATTTCAGTGGATTTAGGACTTTTTAAGGCCTAAAATGTTGTGTTAAAAATGTAAGACATTTTAAGTTTTTTAAGACCCTGCAGACACCCTGTATGTTGATCCTGGAACATCATTTTGGTTCGGAAATGTAATCCATATTACTTCCTAACTTATAAATAAAAACTTACATTAAAACGTATCCCTTAATTCTGATTGGCTGATTGGAATGTTAATCCAGGAACATGTCCTACTTGGTGAAATCAGAACACTGCTGAACAGTGACTGCAATTGTGTGAACCAGAGTATAAACTGCATAAATGACTCTGATTCATTCAATTATTAGAGAATAATACACAACTGAGGTCTTTGTGGAAGCATCACCACCTCAGGTGTGCATTACTTTTGTATTAATTAAGCAGTCTATCATCAATAAATCCTTACATATTTAAAATTAAACACAATATACAGGCCCGTAGCCAGCCAGGTGAAAGGGGTGGTTATTTTTTCCTTTTTGTAGTTATTCGTCTTGTTTTCTATTGAATTATGAGGTTTAAATATTGCATTTAAGTAATATTTTAAGCACTATTTTAGCTGGATTAGCTTGTCAGATGGTCATCAACCACACTTATATATAGAATAAACTTATTTTTTAAATACAAATTGTATTAATTGCATCATATATCATTAGAAAAAAGGAGATAAAGTTAACGTTTTAAATGGGAGAAAAAAAACCTGTAGCCTATTGTCATTTATTGGGCAGATAACAAACTGGCCAGCACATTCAACTTTCCTCAGTCAGAATTTGGCCATTTGAAATTCAAAGCACCCGAACCCCCCTGCTGGCTACAGGCCAGATATAGCTCACATTCCCAAGCAGATGATGTAAGCATACTGCAAATGGAAAAGGGTGGATCTACTTCAGAGACCAAGAATGAATTAACATCTGTCATATTTTGTTTCAGGCTGGGTGGAACAAGAAACATACTACTAAAGCCAGAAGACTTTCTGTTGAACATGAGCAAGGAGAGATTGCATCCTTTGGAAAACATCAAAATGAACACCCGTTTAGGTTATTAAATACGTCAGATTACAGGGATATTCACCCAAAAATGAACATTCTGCCATCATTTACTAACCCTTTCACATTTCTTTATTCTATTTAACACAAAAGAAGATGTTTTGTAAGCTGAAACCATTGACTTCTTTTATTTATACTATGGGAGTCAATGGTTATGTTTTCAGCTTACTTTGTAATATCTACTGTGTTCAACAGGATTAAGAAACGTAAAGGTTTAGATTAAAGTGAGGGTGAGTAAATTAACATTTTAAGGAGAACGATCCATTTATAAACAAGAAGCATCCAAGTCATTTGCACACATGCATGCGTAGTTGCTCAGCTTATTATAATAGATTCATTTACATTGAGTGTATTTATGAAAATCCACATTCATGGCATTTAAAAAAAATATAGGTTTCAACCAAGCTGCTAACAAGTTTTAGTTTTAACCTTTAGCACTGTATTTAGCAGTGTATTTCACTATAATCAAACATTACTCTTTTGTTTTTCATGCAATAAAATCCACATGTTGGATTAACGTGAGGTTATGTACAGAACAGAGTACACTGTATTGATGAACAATAAAGACACAATAAAACAAAAACACAATAAAAGCACACGTGTTTGAGTCCATTTTTAAAGACACGATGTTAAAAACAAACCATGCTACCAGAAAAAGAAAATTGCTTTTGCCACCAGTTCAGTCTTTATTAATACTTGGACACTGCAATTGACAGGCTGTCAGACATGCTATCATACAAAATAAAAAAGAAAGAAAAGGAAATAAACCGCCTTCAGTGATTAAATATTCAGTTCAGGCCTGAACAGAAATTCACACACTTGCAAATCATTAAAAAATAATGGCAAAAGCTTTTAACTCTAAACACAATGAACATGAAGTCATACAATAATTTAGCTAAATATATAGAAAACAATCAAAGGCACAATATTGCAGAACACAGCACTGAAATGCATTTTAGTATTCATAAGACACCGAGAGTTTTTCAAGAAGCTCAAGTCTGTTAAGGCTGAACAACAGTGACCCTGAACTTCCTTCATTTATTTGAAACCCCCTTAAGCAGTTGCTAGATTAGTGTTTCCTCACTGCTGACTGTCTTCAAGAAATTCACAGCAAATTGAACACCATTGAGGGATCCATTTTATGCAATTGCTATACTTAGTGCATCTCAGATTAAAAAAAGCACAAATGTTTGCATTTAGCATAACATAAGAAGGAAGTTCACACCATTTCCTTTTTTGTTTGTTTGTTTATTTCTTTTTTTGGTGTGGTAATATAGACCCTCACAGAAAGAGATTTACTGTAGGTACTAAACCAAACCAACATTCAATCATAACCGAATGCCTAAAACATATATATTACATGCTAAGATAAAAAAAAAACATATAACAAAATATTGAGAAAATCTTTTTAATACAAAGTGATGATATACAATATATATATGCAGAAAAAGAAAATGAAATTACATGACCTGTTATACACTGAGTGAGTTACGAGTAAAAATTAAGGCAGAAGTCAAACAAGAGGGAGAAAGCCAAGAAGTTGACGCCCTGAAATGAGATCATGTTTCTAGAGAGGTTTTCAGTGTCCTTAACTTTCCAGAACATTAAAATTACATAGACAAAATATTTAAAACAATTTATAGAAGGGGCTCACACTGTCTCTGCACAAGCCACATTGACCTACAATGACATTTACCTGTTCATTACATTTGGATTGGTGGTAATATTATTTGGGTGAGTTAGTTTAGGACTAATATAAAAGAGATTTTGCAGATGGCAGTCTGAAAGTATGAGTGAGAATGTGTTCAAGATGATAAGAAATCAGCAAGACTTGCACTTTATGCCAATACATTCCAGCAGAACTGCTTTAGGAATTTGTGTGTTAGAAAGCTGCTACATTCTCAAAGCATTAGCTAATGTTCTGGCGGGGTTCCCACAAAGTTTTGCACAAACATAATACAGTTTTTATTGTGTATGACATGTAAATTTGTTCTGCATTGCATCCTTTTGTAATTGACAAATTACATGCCAATAAAAAAATCATTTATTTTCTTGAAATACAGGCATTTAAAAAAAAAAGATCTTAAATTTTCTCAAAGTTTTACATCAAAAGCATGAGCTATCATAACATTATAATTCATAAATGCTTTTTTTTTTCATCAATTCCTTATCATTAATTGTTCATATTTTTCACAAATGTTAGCAAAATGTTCTTGAAACAGTGGGCCACTGTATAATTTCCAGGTTTTTGCTATTTTTTCAAAGAAAATTAAACATTTTATAAATAAACAGAAACAGAAACTCGTCATCATGACGAATAAAAAATATATTGGCAATAAACCACAATTCTGTTGATTATTGCAGAATTTAAAAATCAATTTGACTATTGATTGTTTTGATTGATTTCTCAGTATTCAGGAATCAGTGCCGCCGTCAACTTTAAACATCTAACTAAAACTTTCTGGCACCGTCTATCTACTAATGTACCTCACCAGTGCTTAACCTGCATTTAATACAAACAGCAAATCGCTATCATTTACAGTTCAAGTGTTGCAGTTTGTATCAAGTGCTATGTGTTGCTTAGTACAAACTATATGTACACCAATATACATTCAAGAGTCAATAGAGTTGACCCTTTATCATGCACATATTCACATTGTCTACACTAGATATGCATTTCCTAACAAGAATAATATTCATTCATTTTCCTTCGGCTTAGTTCCTTATTTATCAGGGGTTGCCACAGAGGAATGACCCGGCAACTATTCCAGCATATGTTTTACCCGGCGGATGCTCTTCCAGCCATAACCCAGTACTGGGAAACACCTTACATTCACACACATACACTAAAGCCAATTTAGTTTATTCAATTCCTCTATAGGGAATGTGTTTAGACTGGAGGAAACCAATGACTGTAAAAAATATGGACGACGCAACAGCCCTTTTTCCCATTGAACGCCTTGAGGGCAAAACGCCTGCTTGACGGGCACAAACTGTCGCAAAAGACTGCTGAAATTGGAGCCAGACATGCGCAGAAGGATTGTCTGATGGAGCCAGAGGAGGAGCCGCGAAAATGAGCGGAGTCGAGCTTCCAACCAAACGCTTTATGTAAAATCAACCACGCCCCCCGAACTTCTCAGCATGCGTTTGCTGTCATATCAACACAAATGGATGTAATAACGTTAACAAATATGAGGGTTTTATATATTCAATCGCGCCAGCTCCAGGCCGCAGCGCATAACTTACTCGCGGCGTCGCGGGCTGATTCCGGCTCGCATGCGGCAGCGCCTGCTCGCTCGGCCGCCGCATCTGGCTCGATTGACTCGGGCTGGAATTGGGTAGTGAGTCCAGGCATCCGGAGTAGGTCCAGCAGAGCTAACATTAGTCAGTCTGAGCTCTAAGAGATAAGTCTCCGGCAGGCGAGAATCTAGCCGGAACTGTGTTTTGCTATCTGGGTGGCTAGGCGTGTATCAGCAAACTAATAAAGCCCGAAAAAAGCCCTGAACTTAGCGAATAAACAGTGTTCCACCAGGATCATGTATGTCAGAAACTATAGTTTACTGCTGAACTCATTTTGTCATGGTAAAATAACACAGAAATCGAATAATAACATTTCAGTCTACTTCAGTCTCCTGCCGAAGCTCAGACGGTTTTCTTTGAGAAACTGTCAATCACAGCTGTCAATCACGATGACACGCCCAGCATTAAATTACTGCTAAAAACAAACTGTTTACAAAAATGAAGATCTGCACCTATTTCAGCACAATAACCAGTGCCTTAATCCACCAGAACTATCTTTCGGGACATTTTATTGCAAGTGTAATATTTTTTTTTATTTGGGCTCAAGTCTCCTTCATTAACACGGAGGAGGCGGGCTTTATGACTTGTACTGCAGCCAGCCCCCAGGGGGCGATCCAATGGCCGAAACCTTCACTCAAACGTAGGCTTGCGGCACACTTGGAGGAAACCCATGCCAACACGGGGAGAACATGCAAACTCCACCGGAAATGCCAACTGGCCCAGTCGGGACTCGAACCAGCGACCTTCTTGCTGTGAGTCCACAGTGCTAACCACTGAGCCACTGTGCCGTCCAAGAAGAAAAACATTTAAAAAAACTACATGTATTCGCATCTTTCTGATCAGAACTCACAGATAACAATTCTTAACCACTGATCTGTTAAGATTGAGTCAATGGTTGTGCATTCTGTAGTGTAGACACTGTGTTGGTGTAACCACAGCATCATTTAATATTAAACATCCTTAAAACAATCAAACAACCAAACTACATAAATACTGGTATATTTACATGAGGTGGGGGTTACTATTCTGATAAAACCATATGATGATCTGGGACACACTAGTTTGCACCCACACCATTCAGATCTGCTTAGTTATGCAGTATGTTGAATGGTGTGACAAAAGCAATACATTAGATGTCAAACATCTGTGTCAAAAGTCTGTGTACTATCATTCAATTTCTCTCCCATGGGACTACTAGGAAGAGTTTCTCTTATATCAGGCTCAAAGATTATGTATATATCCTTACTTTCTTTCATATTTTTGTATATATATACAGTCCCTGACAAAAGTCCTGTCGCTTGTGTACAAATTGACTTGAAGTGTCACTGAAATATATTTCTAATTAAGATTTCTTTACAAGAAATGGCAGATTTTAATCCCAACAGCTTTTGTAATAACGTTTCAGTGCAAAACGAAACTGTCAGAAAGTATTCTAATATTCCCAGCTTTGTAAAGCCCATTGAGTTCATTTTTGCGAAGACATAAGTGTTGTCGCCTTGTCATATGAGCTTCACTTGTGACTAATAATGGATCAATTAGGTCTCAGGTGTGTATAAAAAGAACCCCAGTACACTAGTCCTTCACATCAAATGCAACTAGACCTCTGCAAAAATGCAAAAAAGTTTCACCCTGAGACTAGTCTTGATTATCTAGAGGCTAAAAAACCAGATCCACTGCTGATATGGCAGAAACCTTCGAAGTGTCTCAGAGTCAAGTACAGAGGATAAAAAAAAGACTTGAAGAGACTGGAGATGTTTTTGACAAGCCCAGGTCAGGCAGACCCCGCAAGATAACTGCTCGAGAGGACCGTTTGTTGGCTTGAAAATCTAAGGCCAGCCCATTTTTCACTGCTGCAGAGCTCCACGAGACCTGGTCACCTGAAGTCCCGGTGTCAACCAGAACAGTTTGTTGTATTCTGTCTCGAAATGGCCTCCATGGCCGAATCAGTGCCCAGAAGCCAGCACTAAACAAAAGACAATTGAAAAGCCATGTGGCATTTGCCAAGGCCCACTGCCTGCTAAATGGATGGACACTGGAAAAGTGGCAGAAGGTGGATTTTTCAGATGAATCTTCTGTTGAATTACACCACAGTCGCCGCAAATATTGCAGGAGACCTACTGGAGCCCACATGGATCCAAGATTCACCCAGAAAACAGTGAAGTTTGATGGTGGAAAAATCATGGTCTGGGGTTACATCAAGTATGGGGGTGTGCATGAGATCTGCAGGGTGTAAGGCAACATCAATAGTCTAAAATACCAAGAAATCTTAGCTACCTCTTATATTCCCAACCATAAAAAAGGTCAAATTCTGCAGCAGGATGGTGCTCCATCGCATACTTCCATCTCCACATCAAAGTTCCACAAGGCGAAGGAGATCAAGATGCTCCAGGATTGACCAGCCCAGTCACCAGACATGAACACCATTGAGCACATGTGGGGTAGGATGAAAGAGGAGGCATGGAAAACGAAACCAAAGAATATTGATAAACTCTGGGGGGCATGCAAGACTGCTTTCTTTGCTATTCCTGATGACTTCATCAATAAATTGTATAAATCCTTGCCTAACCGCATGGATGCAGTTCTTCAAGCTCATGGAAGTCATACAAGATATTAAATGTGGATCTCACAGCACCACTACTCAATTTGCTGACATATTATTGTATTTGCAGTAAATTTATTAAATTTTCATATAGGCGACAGAACTTTTGTCTTGCCAAAATTTGACCTTTCTGTTTTGATTAAATGATAAATCTTGTTTTAGTGAAACTAATTTATTTCAGTGCATTAAACATAATTTGGGAGGGTTTTAGCTTTTCATATGAACTCTTCCTAACACCAATGGATTAATTAAAAGTCAGGTTAGTAGCAGGTGTTTCTACAAATTAGATAAGGGACAAGACTTTTGTCAGTGACTGTATATATATATATACACACACACACACACACATTACCACCTTTCTGCCTGATTTTGCTGACTTCTCTGTGAAAAAAATTGGTGTAGACAAACATAGACAAAGCAGATTGCTAATGATTGTATTCAAAGACTTGGGAAAAAACTAAAACATCTGCAGGGTCAGCAAAGCAAAGGACAATATTTAAAAGTTTTAAAACCTGCTCCTTGTTTCTGAAACACAACAATTGTCCACTTGAAAGATGTAAAACCTTACTCCGCGGTTACTCCAACTCCTCCAAAGCCAGAAAGAGATTTTCACAGATGCAGAGTGGTATTTTTTGTTTCTAGGAGGAATAAGAGGAATTCAGATTTAGAGATGCAGAACAGGAACCAGCTACTGAATAACAAAGGGAAAAACAAGGAGATTTCAACACGGTCTTGAATGAAGTTTGATTTTGTCTAAAACAGAGCTCACACTGTGCGGTTTAGGCCACAGATTGGCCATCTGGGATAAATTTTAAAAAATCCAAAAATATTCCTATAAACCAAATGTAAAATCTGTAGTTTTTAATTGTGACATGTTCACTAACAGCAGATTAGAGGCCTTTGTGATTGAATTTTTGCAGTTTTAGAGGATTTGAAACACTTTCCTGCTGTACGACTTTCAAGAAGACTTTTAAGAAGAAGTCTTCTGTTCATAAACTATTCAAATATAAACAGTAGTTTCTTTCCTCACAGCACTTACATTTAAACATGTTTTCATCTTGTTTTACTGACTATTTTCTGATTATAAGCCAAGTATTACAAAGTCGATGCTGTTAAAGGAACCTCATGAAATTGAAAGTAAAGGTGGCTTGAAAATCATTCAATGCATGTTTGTTTGTCAGGGTGCTTTCACACCTAGGCTTTTGTTTGGGAACCTGTCTCGTTTGCCCAGTTAGCGTGGTTCGTTTTTCATGTGTGAAACCAGCAATCGCGCTATGATCCGCGCCAAATCAATCACTCCGAGATCACCTGAATGAGGTGGTCTCGGCTCGATTAAAAAGAACTGTGGAGCGGATCGATTGCAGTGAGAAAGCGATAGGATCCAATCGCGGTTATATCACAGTGTTTTATGGATATGTAATAGGCTTACGGCTATATGAAGAGAGAATTATGAGTAGGGCAAGAAGTTTTGCGAGTCTCCCGGATGCCCGCAAACGAGTGATAATCTCTCTGTAATCTTGCGTCTCCCTACCGGTCCTCAAATACGTCGCCCACCCTTCTCACTCCTCTCCACCACATCTCTCCTCAATCTTCAGACACGTCGCGCGCACCTTGTCAAACTCCACCAAACCACCACCTCTCCTGACAGCTGAGCAGGGCGCTGCAAAATAAACCCTGACACTCTGACCAATGTGAGGAGAGTTTACTCACACGTGACTTGTTTTAGATCTTTTGGTCCGATTATAAACTTTGCAGTGTGAAAGCGAACCGCACCAAGAGCAACAATGTAACAATTTTAATCTCTCTTTCGAAAAAACTGAATCGATTCACAGGTGTGAAAGCACCTTTAGTTGTTTTGCACCTGTCTAGGCAAAAAGTGACCATGAACAAATTTGTAAAGCATTTGAGGCACTACTTATTCTCTATACTTTCATGTCTGACAACCAGCAAACATTTGAAATGTTGTCTACTCAAAATACCTTTATTATTTTGATCACCATTCGAAGTAGAAATGTATTGCATATTCACTGCTAAATGCTTGTTATGATAATCACCAGCATCATAAATACTAGTTCAACAATTAATTAACATTAATTATATCAGAAATAAAAGTTTGTATTTACATGCTATTCTGTATATGTGTACTGTGCATATTTAAACATATATATATATATATATATATATATATATATATATATATATATATATATATATATATATATATATATATATGTGTGTGTGTGTGTGTGTGTGTGTGTGTGTGTGTGTGTGTGTGTGTGTAATTTTATTTTATTAGGTATTAAATGCTTAAGAAAATAGCATCAGAAATCAGAATAAGCAAATATTATGAATATGAATTTCATCATATGCTGTAAAAAAAATCCATAATTTTAAAAATTGTTAAATAACGGCTGTTAAATTACAGTAATAAAACGTAAAATAATGGATATTAAATTACAGAAACTTTCTTAAATTTAAATTTCTGGTAAATTTCTGTAATTTAATGGCTCTTATTTTAGGGTAAATTTCTGTAATTTAACAGACGTTATTTTACAGTCTTTTTCCAGCACCCCAGCAGAAATAAACCAAAAAATCAGGGATTTTATTAAAGTGTACTGTAGTGTTAAATGTGCATTTAGATAATCTATCTGTCTTTTCCCTGTGCCCTTGTTGATACTGGGCTACAGAAAACAGCTTGATTTTGGCTTTGCGGCTTAAGGCTAATGGTTCAGCGGAGCACATTGTTAGCCTTCACATGCACTGGTCCGATAATATAAAATGTTAATGAGCATTTGTCTTACCTATCAGTCATCCTTCAGTGACTCCAATTTATCGTACAGATCTTTAATCCCTGTAGAAAAGAATTATAAACAACAGGGTGTTTTACTTTGTAATTACCAATGTGAACAAGCTTATTTAAAAATTAAACGTATCTTTGTAAATGACTAATAAATAAATGAATATTAATAAATAAATAAAATAATAAATGACCGTCTTCACAGAAACAATTAGTCATATAATGAAATACAGACATAAATTGACTAATTGTTATACAAGAGTAACTATAAAATGTTTATGAAAAAAGGTTAATAGTTGTAATTACAATAACGTTTAAGACAAGCAGTAAAAAATTATAGTTATCTTTTACTAGTAAAACGGCCAAGATAAAAAATGTACATATATAATGTAGAATATACCTTGTGGATCATCATCTTTATCTCCATCTATTAATAAAAAGAAAGGAAATCCAGGTGTTTATCCATTTCATGGAGAATGCTACTATTAACTCATATTAATTATAAAACATAATAGCTTGAAATTGGCTATTACAACTAAGAGAGTGTGATGCACACACTAAGACTCATATTATTAAAAAATATTGAACAGGTGAGGATAAAAAAACAAATCTGAAAAAACAATGAGCATACATGTTAACACAACTATGGATTTACAAATAAAGTTAAAACACCATAAAAATATTTTTTGTCATGACTTATTGTCATATCAATTTCACAGTGTTGCAACTAATAACAATAATAAATTAATAAATAACAGAAACCTCACATTTAATTTGCCTTTAACATTCAACATGGTCTTAACTAACAACTAGGGCTGTAATGATACGTGACATGCAACCGAAATCGCGACACTCAGATCCACGATTCCTGTGCCGCGGTGTGATAAGGGAGAATCACGACACCCCGTGACTACCTTTCCAATAACGTGACGCCTGCCTGCAAAAGTTGAGCTAGTTGAAGAAGAATGTGAGGAAACTGTCACGGTTGTGGATCTATCTGCTCTTCTATGATGTGTCTGCGTGGTGTGATTTGTTTTGTGTTTGCGGTGTGTGTGTGCGCTTGTCTCTGTGTTTGTGTGAGAGTTGCGTGGCTGTCAGTGTTGTTGTTGTTTTCATGTCATCAGCTGGGCGGTCACATGATCATGGTCATCGGTCGCCTAGCACCGCTCAGCTGATTATTGCGATCCAGGTGTACTGAACTGTTGATTTCGCCACTGAGCCGGAGCCCAGACCCATGCAGATGGGAAGATTTCGTCTGTCTTCGGAGGAGAGACGTCGTCGACGTGCTGGGGGGTTGTGTATGTACTGTGGAGTTGGGGGTCATTTTGTGGCTTTATGTCCGGCCAAAAGTAATAAGCCATCTATGGGTAAGAGTTTATTGGTGGGTGAAATTATGCCTAAAAGAAACTCTCCTAATATGACTTCCTTATCCATCAAACTGTGTTTTAATTCCATTTCTCACACATGCCACGCCCTCATCGATTCCGGAGCCGAGGGGAACTTTATTGATGCTAAATTAGCTAACAGTCTGAACATCCCTGTTTCTCCTCTTTCTTCACCTATAGCGGTGCATGCTCTTAGTGGACTGTCCCTTCCTACCATCACACACATTACTGCTCCCATAAAACTCATTACTTCGGGGAATCACACAGAACTCATTACATTTTTTCTCACAGACACCATTGATACTTCTGTCATTCTGGGACATCCATGAATAGTGTTACATAAACCTCACATTAATTGGGGGCATAATGCAGTTTTTTCTTGGAGTGAGAGCTGTCATGAATCTTGTTTATTGTCTGTTTGTTCTAATGTTCCTTGTTCTGTGTTTCAGGAGGAGCAGGTGGATTTATCAAACGTGCCCCGTGAGTACCATGACCTGAAGAGAGTGTTCAGTAAGTCTCGGGCTGCTTCTCTACCTCCTCACCGTCCCTATGACTGTGCTATAGACTTATTGCCAGGTACGTCTCCGCCTAAAGGCAAGTTATATTCGCTGTCTGTTCCAGAGAGGGAGGCTATGGAGAAATATATTTCTGATTCTCTAGCAGCCAAGATCATCTGCCCGTCTTCTTCACCGGCGGGGGCGTGATTTTTTTTTGTGAAAAAGAAGGATGGTTCTCTTCGTCCATGCATTGACTATCGAGGGCTGAACAGTATCACGGTTAAGAATACGTATCCTTTGCCGTTGATGTCTTCAGCCTTCGAGCGCCTGCAGGGGGCGAACTTTTACACAAAATTAGATCTCTGCAATGCTTATCATTTGGTTCGCATAAGACCCGGGGATGAGTGGAAGACCGCATTTAACACCCCTAGAGGGCATTTTGAGTACTGCGTTCTGCCCTTCGGCCTTTCTAACGCTCCGGCGGTTTTCCAGGCACTCGTCAATGATGTGTTGAGAGATATGATAGATCAGTTTATCTATGTCTACCTGGATGACATTCTGATTTTTTCTCACTCTCTCCAGGAAAACGTTCAGCACGTCAGGCGAGTGTTGCAGAGGCTGTTAGAGAATGGGCTTTATGTCAAGGCGGAGAAATGCGTTTTTCATGCACAGTCGGTTCAGTTTTTGGGGCATATCGTGTCGGTCGAGGGGATGCGCATGGATCCAGAGAAGATTCAGGCTGTGGTAAATTGGCCAACCCCAGATTCCCGTAAGGCCCTGCAGAGGTTCCTGGGCTTTGCCAATTTTTACCGGCGTTTTATTCACAATTTCAGCCAGCTCGCCGCACCTTTGACTAATTTGACCTGCTCCAAAACTCCGTTCAGGTGGTCTAACGCAGCCGAAGCTGCATTTTCCAAACTGAAGGGTTGCTTTGTTTCAGCCCCGATTCTCATAGCCCCTGATCCTTCTCGGCAGTTTGTGGTGGAGGTCGATGCGTCCGAGGTCGGGGTCGGAGCCATCCTGTCCCAGCGCTCTGCCTTGGACGGCAAGATTCATCCCTGCGCGTATTTCTCACATCATTTATCTGCTGCTGAAAGAAATTACGACATTGGTAATCGAGAGTTGCTGGCCGTCAAGCTTGTGTTGGAGGAGTGGCGACATTGGTTAGAAGGTTCTGGGGTAGGGCTGCACGATATTGGAAAAAATTGACATTGCGATATTTTTTTCCTCTGCGATATATATTGCGATATTTTATATATATATATATATATATATATTTACTTAAAACTAGGGCTGTGACGTCACCATGACAACTGCGTCACCGCGGTGGTCATTGCCACCTCGGTTGTCCATTGCCACCGGCCGTAGTACGTGACGTCACGCACTTTAAAACACAAATTACTGTTATGTTGCCAAGTATTACATATCTGTTAGAATATAACATTAGGCGCGATTCAGCAAGTTCAACCATGAATCTTGTTAGAAAACGAACTCTTACATCTGGGAACATTTTGGATTCGTGCCGAACTAGAAAGGTGAACGAATCAGTTTGGATTAAGCTTTTTGTATGGGGGTTTTAAGTAAAGTGTGTTTTAATATTCACTGCTGAGTGCTGAGAGTCCAAACACTGAGGAGCAAATCCATCGATACGCAGATCCACGGGTCCCGAACCATGCAAGCTAGTGGCGATTGACGGCGAGGGAAAAAAAGCCATGTAGGCTTAATCAACTCCTGTCTTCTAAACGCAGAAGCCCAGCTCAGCCAGGCATGGCAGAGGCATTTGCAAAAATGGCCAGATACAAAAGAGAAAGTGATAAATGGAAGACATTGACGAGAAATTGAGCATAGGCTATTTGGTAACTACTTAAGAACGCGCCGCTCCGCAGAGTAGAGAAACCTGCGTTGCGAGAAATGCGGGCAGCGGAACAGAAGCAGAAGCCCTCTATCGCATGGTTGTGAAAAAGTAGCCTGTCTGTGCATTTTTCGCTACAAGCACACCGTCTAACAGTGTATTGCTGGAAACATTATAACCCCATTCTTCACTTAAACCGGACAAAGTCAACATGTTAGTTTTTCTGGCAAATAATTTAAAATATGACTACAAAAGGTGGAGAGAAACTACGCTGTTTTTTTAAACATCTGACTTATATTGTTACTAGGTTAACATTTTCTTTTTACGTATAATTATTAATATTTATATTATTATTACACTGATTAGTAAAGTGCCATTTAGAATTTTTGTTAAGTTCTTAAAAATGTAACGTTTAATTGTTATTATTATACAGTTTCAAACAGTTAAAGTAATGTAATATTTAACTACAATATTTATAAACAGTTTTGTGTTATTTTATTAACGAAAGTTCAAAAATAAACATGTACGTTTATACGGATGTTTTATTTATTAACATTAAATTCGGTTATTCCTTAATTTTTACATAAAAGGTAAATTAACTTAAGTAGGCTACATTATTTGTTGATGTAGGCCTACGAGATCGAGGAACATTTTTGCCAGTAAATAATGTTCGCACCACTTAAAAAACAAAACAAATGAATAACTTGCGAAAAGGATGCAATAAAAAATGCAAGCGCTTAATCATTCTTCACAATCGGATTCGTACGTGCAATAAGCGGAGGCTATATTGCGCCGACAAGAACAAGCCCTAAAACTAAGTCTAGAGAGAGAATTAATACTAGTTAATATTAATGATTATAAACATGAACTGCGTTGTATGATAAGCGCATCACAATGATGTCGTGATCTTTGCTGATGAACTGATATGTTATCACCGTCTCCCCAGCCAGGTTTTCATCTGCTTTTTTCCCCTTCTTCTGGATACAAACAATAAAGTATCAGCGCCAGACCAGTGGTTTAAATTATATTTTACTCTCCTGATTTCTTTTCTTTTCATTAAAAAATAAATAAATGTTTAAAGTTTTGTATTGCATAGCCTATATATTTTTAAAGATTATCATTCAGCTTACCTGCAGCGCATGAGGTTGTGTGCTGGGCAAATCCCCTTTACTCATGCTACCCATTTCATTTATGACACTGTAAACTTGACTTGGCAGGCTGATCATCTTTAAACTCAAAAGGTGTTTTTAACTTGAGACTGCATGCTTCTGCATAATGTGATGTTTCTTATTACAACTGTTAGCAGTGTCAAAATGAAAGCAAACATTAAAAAGGGTTTTGTTTTATCAATTGTATAGTTTAGTTTTAATAATAGCTAATGTATATAATAAATTATAATATCGATTATTGTGTAGACGACAATGTTCAACAAAACAATTTTATTAGGTTACTCTAATAGACCAAATCCCTAACTGAAAAAAAATGTGAAAATGACAGGCAGTTGCGTCTTTGCTAAAATTAATTTAACGATAAATTTCTTTTGCTTTTTTCCCCTTTAGAGATCAAAAGAGCTGTATTTAAAGAATCATTTAACAAAAACATGAATTGAATGCCCAGTTCTTTCCCGTGTGAGTTTAGTGCGCCTCCACCGCGTCTGTGTTTTTAAGGTTAGGTGCACCCTGACCTGACGCGGGGACCAGATCTCTGTATTGCTTTAATTTCTCAATTTTCATAACTGCATTGCATTTTCATATGGTAAAATATCTAAATTTATGTTCTGAAAGTAGTAGGAATGACGGGAGTGTTAGTAAATAACAGAAAGAACTTTCACTTTTGAGTGAACTTCTGTCACGTGTTATTTTAGTATGATAAAATAAACAAAAATAGTAATGCAGAAAATTATTTTTCGCTCTGCCAAGCCTTCTCTGTTGCTGTATAGAGAAGCAGCCTGCTCAGTCTCCTTACCCCGGCCCCACCCCGCCCACCGACTCCTGAACGTCTCACTCACTAACTCACTCACTCACGCGGGCATGCAGTGCGGTCTCATGAGGAAACGCAGCTTTTTGATATAATAAATGTTTTTCTTGTTCCCAAATACAAATAATTTATCAAGTATTGTTTGAAATAAGTATTCATAAAAACAGGCTATTCCTGCTTTTCCGAATACCGTATTCCGGTTCGGCTCCACCCATAATATATATATAATTTTTTATTTTTTTTTTGCATCGCACCCTCCTGCGATGTGACTATCGCGGATGCCCACATCGCGATTTCGATGCTGAAACGATATATCGTGCAGCCCTATTCTGGGGTGCCTTTTATCGTTTGGACCGATCATAAAAATCTTGAGTACATCAAATCTGCCAAAAGACTAAACTCTAGGCAGGCTCGGTGGGCATTATTTTTCGGATGATTTAATTTTTCAATATCGTACAGACCAGGTTCTAAGAACATCAAACCTGATGCGTTATCTCGTCTTTTTGATCGCTCGGATCCTACGTCATCTCCAGATCCGGTGCTTCCGCAGAGGGTTTTTGTGGCGAATATTTCTTGGGAAATCGAGTCGCGGGTTCGCACAGCCCTGGATGGGGTAACACCTCCGATCGGATGCCCGCCGAGTCGATTATTTGTGCCAGAGGATCTACGGTCCGACGTTATCCGGTGGGGTCATTCCTCCAAAGTAGCCTGTCATCCGGGGGTGAGTCGCACATTATTTGTTATCAAACAAAGATTCTGGTGGCCAGTAATGGCTCGTGATGTGCGCGATTTTGTTTTGGCTTGCTCTGTCTGTGCAGCTTCTAAGTCTTCCAATCGCCCGCCTGCTGGACTCCTTCAACCGCTGTCAGTGCCTTCGAGACCCTGGTCACACATCTCGCTAGATTTTGTTACGGGTCTTCCATTCTCTAACGGCAACACGGTGGTTTTAACCGTGGTGGACAGGTTCTCGAAGGCTGCTCATTTTGCCCCTTTGCCCAAATTACCTTCAGCCAGAGAGACAGCAGTTGCGGTCATTGATCACGTCTTTCGCATTCATGGCCTCCCGACAGACGTGGTTTCTGACAGGGGGCCTCAGTTTGTCTCTAAATTCTGGAGAGAATTCTGTCGTTTATTGGGGGCTACTGTTAGTCTTTCTTCTGGGTTTCATCCCCAGAGTAACGGTCAGACCGAGAGAGCCAATCAGGATCTTGAGCGCACATTGCGATGTTTGGTCTCGCAGAATCCATCCTCTTGGAGTCAGCAACTTTCGTGGGTGGAGTACGCACATAATTCGTTACCAGTGTCGGCTACGGGCCTCTCTCCGTTTCAGTGTAGTCTAGGTTACCAGCCACCAGTTTTTCCCAGTCTGGAATCCGAAGTCGCGGTCCCCTCCGTTCACGCCTTTGTCCAGAGGTGCCGCCGCACCTGGAACAGGGCCAGACAGACCCTCCTCCAGGTGGGGGAGCGCATTACTGTGGCTATAAATGTTCAGCGTTCCTGTCTCACCTTGTCAGTTCGTTGTCCTCACTTGTCTCTGTGTCTTTGTCAGGCTCTCCTCGTTGAGTTCGCTGGTTGTTCGCTGGTTGAAGTTTTCTCCGATGAACTTTAGATTCGCTCTGTTGACGGAGATTGAAGTTCTCCCCGATGAACTGTTGATTCGCTCTGTTGACGGAGATTGAAGATCTCCCCGATGAACTTTGTCCGCCCTGCAGACGGAGAACTATTTGTTCCTTCATCTTCCTCTTGTGAACACCTGACTTCCAGCCAGCCAGCTTCTCTTTGTTCTGTGTCCCTCCTAAGTTTAATAAATTGTCGCTTGCATTTGGGTCTCCACGTCTTCTTTGAACTTTGTGACAGAAACATGGCAACCAACCCAGAGTTTGTGGACCCTCCCTCCTCATTTAAGTCAGCAGTAGGTCAACATTTCAGCTACCCGGTGGACAAAGTATGGCAATCGAGTAGTCGACAAGACCCACACAATTTGCCATAAGTCCTTTAAGACGCTTCACTAAGTGACAGGCAACACAACTAACATGCAGATGCAAGGATTTCCACTGCATATACGATGCTTTGCTTACTCTGTTAATCTGGCTGCGCAGAGAGGGATGGGCATTCACCAGATGTCCCGACTCTTGGCAGAGTAAGGAAAGTTGTCACGTTTTTTCACCGCAATGTTGGCATGATGGTGTTTTTGAGGTAGAATTTTCAACTTCCTTAAATCAAACGAGTTTGGTTTTCTTAAAAGAAATAGGTTGTTTATTTGTTTAATGCTCACTTGATTTGTGGTTTGCAGCACAGGCATTAAGCCTCAGTTACCTCAGTGTGAAACAGTAGCCATTTAATTTACACTTTAAATGTAAGAGAACTTGATTGAAGAAGAGTTTTCAACATGCTCGAATCATCTCCACAATGGAGTTTAGTTCTGTTTGTTTTTCAACAGTGTTTTGTTACAACAGAAGTGTTATAGCTTTGGCTATTTATTTATTTTATATATGGCCATTTATATTGTTAATCATTTGCATAGTTAATATTGTTCTTTGGTGTTCAGTTTATAAAGATTTTAAAAAATGTTATTTAAATAAAAAATATAGTTTAAAAAATCTTTTTTTTCACCCCCCACGAAAGAAAATTGTGATACGAACCGAATTGTGGATTTGGTGTATCGTTACAGCCCTACTAACAACTGTCATTATATCAAATATCTGCTGCAAGGCTGTTATAAATGAACTTCAACATGCAACAACTAACTAGTATTTACAGAGAAGAGTCTGAAATTACACAAAATTGTGCTTCATTGTTTAAGAAAATGTTGAAAAATATTATTTTATAATAATGACTTTAATGCAAATGATAATTCAGACAAACTAACAAACAAACTAACAAAAAACATACCTTGACTTTGGTTTTCCAGGACAATTGTGGTATCTGAAGAGAGAAATTTGAGATGAACAAGTTCATTACACGGTGCCAAAAAAAAATTGTCTGTTGTGAAATGTTGTTTAAGAGCTACTAATGGTTTATGAAATAATAACTGGCTTTCAGGAGAAGCAGTGAGAATTATGGTTATTGTCACTAGTAAAACATCCTAGATATTTGTAAAATATTTGTGAGATATACAAGAAATTGCATCTTCTTACCATATCCATCTTCAGCTCCGCCAAAGTTGTTTTTACCTTCATTTTTTAAAAGAAATAAACAAAATACATGATTAGCCATTTCTTGTGGATAAAGTTCATATAAACCACCTTTACATGATTATTTTTTGAGGGAGTTAAAAAAAGTCTGTTGTAAAATGCTGTTTAAGAGCTTCTAATGAAAAATGAGTTTCTAAACAGGTTTCAAAAGCAGTAAGAATTGTGGTTAACTTGACTAGTAAAACGTCCTAGATATTTGCAGAACATTTGAGAAATATATAGGAAATTGCATCTTTCTATCCTGTTCCTTTAGAGAAATTATCCTGTTGACAAAGCAGGGGTCACCAAACTTGTTCCTGGAGGGCCGGTGTCCTGCAGATTTTAGCTTCAACCCTAATCAAACACACCTGAACAAGCTAATCAAGGTCTTACTGGGTATACTTGAAACATCCAGGCAGATGTGTCGAGGCAAGATGGAGCTAAACCCTGCAGGGACACCGGCCCTCCAGGACCGAGATTGGTGACCCCTGCTTTAAAGGCTGATTTATACTTCTGCGTCAAGCGCATGCGCAAGCTGATGCGCACCTCTCAAAAAATGCAACTACACGTCGCAACGGCGCGTAGTCCAAGCTCTGTAATTGGTGGGCTTGGTAGCTCTGACGAGTGTGGGTGGGACCGAGAGCCGCGCGAGCCTGATGGAGCGACTGTTTACAAGTGTGGAGTCCCGTGAAGGAGCTCCGGATGGAAAGTTTTGTTTTGTGTTTACTAAATTTTAAGTTTACTTGGTTTTGTGTTTTACATGTTTAAGCTTGTTGCACGTCTGCCGGCTCCTTCCTCAAAATGAGCGACTTTGAGCCACTTGTACATTAAGGAAGCGTTCAGAAAAAACAAAACACTAGCAAAAAAACTCGACACAGAGGAACATTTACACCTCACTGCCAACTAGCGTTTCGGAAGTGTTATTGCAGACCAACAGAGACAGCGCGCAGAAGTGTAAATGCACAGCTACGCGCGTTGCATGCGCCGTGTGTCACAGCGATCTATTGACGCAGAAGTATAAGCCAGACTTAATAAATTACATTAATTCTAAAATATAATAGCTTGCACAATTTACAATTTTAAGAAATAAATTGACACAGGTTAACACACTGAACTTGAATAAAATCTGTATTTTTAAGCCTTGTAAAGAAATATTGCAAAGGTAAGAATGAAAAATAAATTGGAAACAATACTGCCTACAACTATTGTGGACACCTATTCATTGTATATATCGCTATCAATTTAACATTGTCCTGTTTTTTTGGGAGTATGCTGTTGTATTTGCACTGTCTGTATATTGCACGATCGTTGTATATGCACTGTATGTATTTTGTACCGTCTGGAGCCAGCACCTAAGCTTTTCACTCATCATAGCACACGTGCTGCTGATGATGTGACAATAAACGTGATCCATGAGAAACACCTATTAACATTACGAGATTATTAACAGTACATCACAGAGACCTTACATTTAATTTAACAAGATCACAAAAAATGATCTTTTTTTAACTCCTACTGCAACAATCATAAAATGTCAGAAAAATTGTGTTATTTGTTTTTTTTTCTTGGATTGAACAAATACCAGTATGCTGACAATTGATTCAATCTGCATGATTAATTAAATAATTTCCTCCCATAAATTCTGTGTCTGGGACTAAAACCGCTCATGCAATAAAATCAGCATTTTTGCTAATATTTGTCTTGTAAATCCTGAAAGTAGTTTTAAAAAATTAGGAGGGCTTTTGATGGAATGTGAAGATTGTGAGGAAACATGGCAACCAACCCAGAGTTTGTGGACCCTCCCTCCTCATTTAAGTCAGCAGTATGTCAACATTTCAGCTACCCGGTGGACATAAAGTATGGCAATTTGCCATAAGTCCTTTAAGACGCTTCACCAAGTGACAGGCAACACAACCAACATGCAGATGCATATCCTACAGCACCATCCAGAAATCAATTTAGCTCATATCAAACGTCCCCGTTCCCGTGACAACAGAGCGCGGTTAAGTTGGTCTTGTTTTCGAGATTCCTGACACATTCAGTTATAGAAAAATCTCTTACATAACAAAATCTAAAGTGTGTTTCCTACAAGAAAACAAAGCTGGTTATGTTTCACAGCTGTCTTTTTCTTTTTTTTCGCTCGACATTACGAGCACTGCCCTGTTTAAGCCCTCACATTATGCGTTTAGCCGGGAGGGCTCGCGCTGAGCGGACCGTCTGAATGTGTCAGGAATTGAAAACAAAACCAACTTATCCACGCTTGACAACAGACAACGGCAGAAACATTGCCAATGCTGTCAAAGCGGAAGGATTTCCACTGCATATACGATGCTTTGCTTACTCTGTTAATCTGGCTGCGCAGAGAGGGATGGGCATTCACCAGATGTCCCGACTCTTGGCAGAGTAAGGAAAGTTGTCACGTTTTTTCACCGCAATGTTGGCATGATGGTGTTTTTGAGGTAGAACTTTCAACTTCCTTAAATCAAACGAGTTTGGTTTTCTTAAAAGAAATAGGTTGTTTATTTGTTTAATGCTCACTTGATTTGTGGTTTGCAGCACAGGCATTAAGCCTCAGTTACCTCAGTGTGAAACAGTAGCCATTTAATTTACACTTTAAATGTAAGAGAACTTGATTGAAGAAGAATTTTCAACATGCTCGAATCATCTCCACAATGGAGTTTAGTTACAACAGAAGTGTTATAGCTTTGGCTATTTATTTATTTTATATATGGCGATTTATATTGTGAATCATTTGCATAGTTAATATTGTTCTTTGGTGTTCAGTTTATAAAGATCTTAAAAAATGTTATTTAAATAAAAAAATTGTTTTAAAAATCTTTTTTTTCACCCCCCACAAAAGACAATTGTGATACGAACCGAATTGTGGGTTTGGTGTATCGTTACAGCCCTACTAACAACTGTCATTATATCAAATATCTGCTGCAAGGCTGTTATAAATGAACTTCAACATGAAACAACTAACTAGTATTTACAGAGAAGAGTCTGAAATTACACAAAATTGTGCTTCATTGTTTAAGAAAATGTTGAAAAATATTATTTTATAATAATGACTTTAATGCAAATGATAATTCAGACAAACAAACAATAAAAAAAAACATACCTTGAGTTTGGTTTCCCTGGAGAGTTGAGTTTGCTAAAGAGAGAAATTTGAGATAAAGGGGTTTACTACACTGCTTAAAAACAAAGTCTGCTGTAAAATGTTGTTTAAGAGCTACTAATGGTTTATGAAAGCAGTGAGAATTATGGTTAACGTCACTAGTAAAACATCCTAGATATTTGTAAAATATTTGTGAGATATATAAGAAATAGCATCTTCCTACCATGGTCATTTTCACCTCCGCCAGCGTTGTTTTCACCTTCATTTTTTAAAAGAAATAAACAAAATACATGACTTTGTCAATTTCTTTTGGATAAAGTTAATATAAACCACGTTTACATGATTAGTTTATGAGGGATTTTTAAAACAATTCAGACAAACTAACAAAAAAACAAACAAACAAACCATACCTTGAGTGTGGTTTTTCAGTTCAGATATATTAACTGAAGAGAGAAATTTGAGATGAACAAGTTCATTACACAGTGCCAAAAAAAATTGTCTGTTGTGAAATGTTGTTTAAGAGCTACTAATGGTTTATGAAATAATAACTGGCTTTCAGGAGAAGCAGTGAAAAATATGGTTAACGTCACTAGTAAAACATCCTAGATATTTGTAAAATATTTGTCAGATATATAAGAAATTGCATCTTCCTACCATATCCATCTTCAGCTCCGCCAGCGTTGTTTTCACCTTTATTTTTTAAAAGAAATAAACAAAATACATGAATATCCATTTCTTGTGGATAAAGATAATATAAACCACCTTTACATGATTATCTTTTGAGGGAGTTAAAAAAAAAGTCTGTTGTAAAATGCTGTTTAAGAGCTTCTAATGAAAAATTAGTTTCTAAATGGGTTTCAAAAGCAGTAAGAATTGTGGTTAACTTGACTAGTAAAACGTCCTAGATATTTGCAGAACATTTGAGAAATATATAGGAAATTGCATCTTTCTATCCTGTTCCTTTAGAGAAATTATCCTGTTGACAAAGCAGGGGTCACCAAACTTGTTCCTGGAGGGCCGGTGTCCTGCAGATTTTAGCTCTAGCCCTAATCAAACACACCTGAACAAGCTAATCAAGGTCTTACTGGGTATACTTGAAACATCCAGGCAGATGTGTCGAGGCAAGATGGAGCTAAACCCTGCAGGGACACCGGCCCTCCAGGACCGAGATTGGTGACCCCTGCTTTAAAGGCTGATTTATACTTCTGCGTCAAGCGCATGCGCAAGCTGATGCGCACCTCTCAAAAAATGCAACTACACATCGCAACGGCGCGTAGTCCAAGCTCTGTAATTGGTGGGCTTGGTAGCTCTGACGAGTGTGGGTGGGACCGAGAGCCGCGCGAGCCTGATGGAGCGACTGTTTACAAGTGTGGAGTCCCGTGAAGGAGCTCCGGATGGAAAGTTTTGTTTTGTGTTTACTAAATTTTAAGTTTACTTGGTTTTGTGTTTTACATGTTTAAGCTTGTTGCACGTCTGCCGGCTCCTTCCTCAAAATGAGCGACTTTGAGCCACTTGTACATTAAGGAAGCGTTCAGAAAAAACAAAACACTAGCAAAAAAACTCGACACAGAGGAACATTTACACCTCACTGCCAACTAGCGTTTCGGAAGTGTTATTGCAGACCAACAGAGACAGCGCGCAGAAGTGTAAATGCACAGCTACGCGCGTTGCATGCGCCGTGGGTCACAGCGATCTATTGACGCAGAAGTATAAGCCAGACTTAATAAATTACATTAATTCTAAAATATAATAGCTTGCACAATTTACCATTTTAAGAAATAAATTGACACAGGTTAACACACTGAACTTGAATAAAATCTGTATTTTTTAGCATTGTAAAGAAATATTGCAAAGGTAAGAAAGAATGAAAAATAAATTGGAAACAATACTGCCTACAACTATTGTGGACACCTATTCATTGTATATATCGCTATCAACTTAACATTGTCCTGTTTTTTTGGGAGTATGCTGTTGTACTTTGCACTGTCGTTGTATTTGCACTGTCGTTGTATTTGCGATGTGTGTATTTTGTACTGTCTGGAGCCAGCACCTAAGCTTTTCACTCATTATAGCACACGTGCTGCTGATGATGTGACAATTAACGTGATTTGATTTGATTTCTATCATGAGAAACACCTATTAACATTACGAGATTATTAACAGTACATCACAGAGACCTTACATTTAATTTAACAAGATCACAAAAAATGATCTTTTTTTAACTCCTACTACAACAATCACAAAATGTCAGAAAAATTGTGTTATTTGTTTTTTTTTCTTGGATTGAACAAATACCAGTATGCTGACAATTGATTCAATCTGCATGATTAATTAAATAATTTCCTCCCATAAATTCTGTGTCTGGGACTAAAACCGCTCATGCAATAAAATCAGCATTTTTGCTAATATTTGTCTTGTAAATCCTGAAAGTAGTTTTAAAAAATTAGGAGGGCTTTTGATGGAATGTGAAGATTGTGAGGAAACATGGCAACCAACCCAGAGTTTGTGGACCCTCCCTCCTCATTTAAGTCAGCAGTATGTCAACATTTCAGCTACCCGGTGGACATAAAGTATGGCAATTTGCCATAAGTCCTTTAAGACGCTTCACCAAGTGACAGGCAACACAACCAACATGCAGATGCATATCCTACAGCACCATCCAGAAATCAATTTAGCTCATATCAAACGTCCCCGTTCCCGTGACAACAGAGCGCGGTTAAGTTGGTCTTGTTTTCGAGATTCCTGACACATTCAGTTATAGAAAAATCTCTTACCCTAAAAAAATCTAAAGTGTGTTTCCTTTTTTTTTTACTTGACATTACGAGCATTATGCGTTTAGCCGGGAGGGCTCGCGCTGAGCGGACCGTCTGAATGTGTCAGGAATTGAAAACAAAACCAACTTATCCACGCTTGACAACAGACAACGGCAGAAACATTGCCAATGCTGTCAAAGTGGAAAGATTTTCACTGCATATACGATGCTTTGCTTACTCTGTTAATCTGGCTGCGCAGAGAGGGATGGGCATTCACCAGATGTCCCGACTCCTCGGCAGAGTAAGGAAAGTTGTCACGTTTTTTCACCGCAATGTTGGCATGATGGTGTTTCTGAGGTAGAATTTTCAACTTCCTTAAATCAAACGAGTTTGGTTTTCTTAAAAGAAATAGGTTGTTTATTTGTTTAATGCTCACTTGATTTGTGGTTTGCAGCACAGGCATTAAGCCTCAGTTACCTCAGTGTGAAACAGTAGCCATTTAATTTACACTTTAAATGTAAGAGAACTTGATTGAAGAAGAGTTTTCAACATGCTCGAATCATCTCCACAATGGAGTTTAGTTCTGTTTGTTTTTCAACAGTGTTTTGTTACAACAGAAGTGTTATAGCTTTGGCTATTTATTTATTTTATATATGGCCATTTATATTGTTAATCATTTGCATAGTTAATATTGTTCTTTGGTGTTCAGTTTATAAAGATTTTAAAAAATGTTATTTAATTAAAAATTATAGTTTTAAAAATCTTTTTTTTCACCCCCCACGAAAGAAAATTGTGATACGAACCGAATTGTGGGTTTGGTGTATCGTTACAGCCCTACTAACAACTGTCATTATATCAAATATCTGCTGCAAGGCTGTTATAAATGAACTTCAACATGCAACAACTAACTAGTATTTACAGAGAAGAGTCTGAAATTACACAAAATTGTGCTTCATCGTTTAAGAACATGTTGAAAAATATTATTTTACAATATTGACTTTTATGCAAATGATAATTCAGACAAACAAACAATAAAAAAAAACATACCTTGAGTTTGGTTTCCCTGGAGAGTTGAGTTTGCTAAAGAGAGAAATTTGAGATAAAGGGGTTTACTACACTGCTTAAAAACAAAGTCTGCTGCAAAATGTTGTTTAAGTGCTACTAATGGTTTATGAAATAATAACTGGCTTTCAGGAGAAGCAGTGAAAAATATGGTTGACTTTACTTGTAAAACATCCTAGATATTTGTAAAATACTTGTGAGATATACAAGAAATAGCATCTTCCTACAAGGGTCATTTCCCGCTGCTTCAACATCTTTTTTACCTTCATCTTTTAAAAGAAATAAACAAAATACATGACTTTGTCAATTTCTTGTGGATAAAGTTCATATAAACCACCTTTACATAATTAGTTTATGAGGGATTTTTAAAACAATTCAAGGCAAGGCAAGGCAAGTTTATTTATATAGCACATTTCATACACAGTGGCAATTCAAAGTGCTTTACATAAACAGGAATAAAAAAGACAAGTTTAGGAAAATAAAATGCAGACAATAAAAAATATTAAAAACAGATAAAAACAAATTAAAATGAGTTAAAATAGGTTATAAAAGAATGAAAAAGAAAACGAAAAACATAATAGTGCGATCTGTCGGACGCAGCACAGTGCTCATTCAGTAAAGGCACAGCTAAACAGATGTGTTTTCAGTCTTGATTTGAATGTGCCTAATGTTGGAGCACATCTGATCATTTCTGGAAGCTGATTCCAGCAGCGAGGGGCATAGTGGCTGAAGGCAGATTCACCCTGCTTAGACTGAATTCAGACAAACAAACAAACAAACAAACAAAACAAACAAACCATACCTTGAGTTTGGTTTTTCAGGGGAGTTGAGCTCGCTAAAGAGAGAAATTTGAGATGAACAAGTTCATGACACGGTGCCAAAAAAAAATAGTCTGTTGTGAAATGTTGTTTAAGAGCTACTAATGGTTTATGAAATAATAACTGGCTTTCAGGAGAAGCAGTGAAAAATATGGTTAACGTCACTAGTAAAACATCCTAGATATTTGTAAAATATTTGTGAGATATACAAGAAATTGCATCTTCCTACCAGGGTCATTTCCCGCTGATTCACCATCTTTTTTACCTTGATCTTTTAAAAGAAATAAACAAAATACATGATTAGCCATTTCTTGTGGATAAAGTTCATATAAACCACCTTTACATAATTAGCTTTTGAGGAAGTCAAAAGAAAGTCTGTTGTAATACTCTGTTTAAGAGCTTCTAATGAAAAATGAGTTTCTAAATGGGTTTCAGGAGAAGCAGTGAGAATTACGGTTAACATGACTAGTAAAACATCCTAGATATTTGCAGAACATTTGAGAAATATATAGGAAATTTTCATCTTTCTATCGTGTTGCTTTACATTTTCTTTATCAAAATCTTCACCTCCTTTAAAAAAATGTATCCATTTCATGTGGAATGGTTCAGTGTCACTTACTTATACTTCTAATAAATCACATTAATTCTAAAATATAATAGCTTGTACAATTTACAATTATAAGAAATAAATTGACAGTTTAACACACTGAACTTGAATAAAATCTGTATTTTTAAGCCTTGTAAAGAAATATTGCACAGGTAAGAATGAAAAACAGATTTCTATTATGAAAACACTTATTAACATTAAGAGATTAATAACAGCACATCACAGAAACATTACATTTATTTTTAACAAGATCATACATTTTATTTGGGGTTTTTACAGCATAAAATTGCCTGGCAATATGCGATTGCCTTTCCAATTCAACATGGTCTTAACTAATAAAGACTTTCATTTATTTTAGCCACAGTGCAAACGAAACATGTCTCATATATGCCTATACACAGGCTGTATTTTTTCTGACAAACTGTTTCAACCGAAATTGGACATGCTACTCTGAGAGATTAAAGAACTGGCCGGGATCATATACTTTTACATTTAGCTGTTTATACTGCAGTTAGTTTTCAGGGCATATTATTCACAGACTATATTATCCTGTATAACGATAGACTGCGTTAAAGCGGGGAAAAAACACAAGCATTACCGGCCTTATCATGATGGAATCATTTAGTAGCGAACTTGCGTTTATGTGACTTAGGGCGTACTCACACTATGCCATCCATACCGTGCCCAGGCCCGTTTCCCGGATTGTTTGAGAAGTGTGAGTGCTCTGAATCGGGCTCAAGTACGGTTCACTTGGCCGGCCCTGGCCCGGTTGGAAGAGGTGTGCCAGAGCGCGGATCACTTGGGCTTTAGCACGGTACGCTTGTGTGTGAGTGCAAAACGCGGCAAAGCCCGAAACTGAAAGTGACTTTTAAGGGACTGTTTCATATGGATTTATTAATTAATCTACTGTTCAGTGAACGCAAACTGCCGTAGTTTATTAAAGATGCAAACCCCTCACTGCACCACAGCTGCACCTTCAGCAGACCTCCTCATTCCTGCAGCACTTTATGATTGTTTATGATTGTTTATGATTGTTTATGAGCGGCAAAAGTGGCAGATCTGTTTGGCGAAATATCTGACTGCGTGTCACTGCATATCAAACCGACTGAAGCGATATAACTAGAGAAATCTCCACTGTGCTGCTGAGTGAGAGAGCGCTTCTCACTGAACAGCACAGCAGCGATGACGTAAGCGTGCCGAGGCTCGATTGTGGTGTGAGCGCGGGCCGTAGGGGGAGACGGGAGGGGGGACATACCTAGTGTGAGTACGGCCTTACACTTGTTGTTGAAAAAACCTAATGACTATCTTTTCTTTTCTTTTTTTTTTTGCTGCCACCATCCTCGCTTGTGTGTCACCCAACACACCTTATTCTTGCACGTGGAAAAAACAATCCATTTGGCGCAACTTGTATCTAAACGCAGCCACACTCCCTCACATGCAAGCAGGGAAAGGCACAGCTAATTAAAATGTCCATATATGTTTTGGGGGCGGGAGGACTCAAGAAGAGAATGTCATTTAACCCTTTCTGCATGTCTAAGTTAACGTTGACAGCGCGATTATTTTTTAAGTGGATTAAATTATTAGTAGGGACATTTCAATGGTTGGTGGATATTGGTGGGGACGCGTCCACCCTAAATCTATGCCCCTGACAGTATATAATAAATATTGTACAGTGTTACTGACATTACATTAATTTTTGCAGGAAACATCAATCCAATAAACACAAACATACCTTTTTTACATGGAACATGTTCATCAACAAACTCTGATGGAAAAAAACAAACAAACAAGGAATTAAAACTGGTCAAATGATTGGACTAAAAAAATAATTGTTGTTGATTGTACATGTTGTAATAATTCTTAGCATTAAATGGAGCAGTAGATCCCAACTCCATTACTCTGCACAGTTTGTGCAGATTAGCAGAGGTCCGTGTGACAGACATAGCCCTATAGTGAAATTACCGGTTTGTAAACATTCACGATGTGCACACAGAAAAGTTAGCCTTTTACAAGTAGAATAGAATAAAAGAATTTATTAAAAAGATGAATGCGATTTTATATTTAAAAGATTTAAAATGTTATATTAAAAATTTAGACTTTATTATTGCAAATCTGAGGTTATATCTCACAATAATGATGAGGAAAAACAACTTGTTATTCTCTCTCTCTGTTTCCCCTTAGCTCAGAATATATGTTCCAGGGTTTTTTTTAACTATTAACATTGTGAACTGTAATAGGACTAGGTTTAAATTATGTGTTTAATGCTGTAATTGTAGGGCTAAAATAAATTGCCTGCAAACAACATATATAATTATTTTGTAGACCTACTGTATTTAGTCTATATATTAAAGTAATTATTTTTTATATTTCCACAGCAATACTATATCGACACTTAGGCGCCCACATTGATATATCCCGAATGTTTTTTTTTTTTAATATTTGGTTGAAAATTTAAATATATATATTTGCAGTCTACTAAATAGTGTTATCGCAGAAAATTGCATAAAGCATTTATGACAGGTTTTCAATAAAGTTTTGTTCAGTTTGTCTGCTTGATGAGACTACTTTGCACTGCACAACATTTAAATCAATAATATTGTATCATGATAATATTGTATAGTGGTGATTCCCACCCCTACTCTAAACGGAGGCTATTAATTCTGACTTTAACTGTATATAAAGCAGCACTACCGCTTTCAACAAATGCTTCAAGTTAAGCAAATTATTACATTAGTTAAGAAGGATCATGTGACACTGAATACTGCAGTACAGTAATGATGCAGAAAATTCAGCTTTGATTCACATTACACTTGAAAATACACTCGTATTAAAACAACATTAAAAACAGTTCATGTAAACTGAAATAATATTTTCAATGATAATATTACAGTTTATAAATTAATGCAGCCTTTGTGCAGTCTCTATGTGAGTGGTTGAAAGAGTCAAAGAGAATGTACTTAACACTTAAATTAAATGATAAAAGACATTTAATAGACTTACTCTTGACACTCCCGTTTTTGCAATATAGACCAAAGCAGGCCCCAATACCACCAAGGATGAGGAAAGGAAAAATGATCCACCAAGGTCCGCTGCTTGATTCCTCTGAAAAAAGAACATTACCGTTTTTACTGTATGAAACATAACAGATTACCTTGTTAAAATCTCTAAACTCTTGTCTTTGTTGTTCTTTCAAGCTTGTAATGAGTTTTGATTCAATTACTGATGCAACTTCAACACAAACAGAAAATGTATATTCCCACCATTTATTTTTTTTTATTTAACATTAATTTTGAACATCTAAAAAATTTTTTAGACAATATTTGCCTTTGTGTTTTATATATCTTGCAAGGACCCATAAGTCAATTTCAGTTTTAGGTTTACACCATGTTGCGCACCACTACTTCATTTGTGCAACACCTGGAAGATAACTTCCTTTAACCAGATGGTTTTATTAAACAGAGCTAAGGTGATATTAGTTTTCAGTTGACTAGTTAATTAATAGAGTTGAAATCAAATGTTTTTTTAAAAACAAATAATATTAATTAAGATGTAATTAATATTACATAAATGTAGCTGTAAATAATTAATTAACAATTTGTCACATGCAATATAAACAAAAACATCAAGCAACATAACACCAGAGAGGTACAAGAATTATTAATTTTAAATAAATAGTAAGTTGTTACATTTCTGTACATTGCTGTGTTGCGTGATTACTATTAGTTTTTTTTCCGCTAGTCTCTCCCTCTTTTTTCTCTCTCTCTCTCACTCGCTCGCTCTTCTCCCGCTTCCACCCATACAGTAGCTACGATTGGCTACCACTGCCCAGCTGTTTGCCGTGTTCCCCCCTGAGGTTACCACACAGTCTCCAATCCAGCCGCTGCTACCATGGCATAAAAGTGGTGACAAGATGCTACATGCAACGCCCTGGGATGGGACACTTGAATTTCTGTGTTGTGTTGTGTGTCAGTGAAATTGCAAATCCGTTTTCAGTGTGTTACAATTAGGTAAATGTCTGTTGTTTTTTGTCTGTTCTCCATTTGTCTACCATCAGTTATTTGTTGAAAATTTATTAAAAATAAAAAAGCTGAAAAATCTTTTTGTCAACTTTGTTGATGCACCTTTGGCAGCGATTACAGCCTCAAGTCTTTCTGAATATGATGCCACAAGCTTGGCACACCTGTCTTTGGGAATTTTTGCCCATTCCTCTTTGCAGTACCTCTCAAGCTCTGTCAGGATGCTGGATGGGAAGTAACAGTGTACAGCCATTTTCAGATCTCTCCAGAGATGGTTGTTGTGAAGCCACTCCATTGATATTTTGACAGTGTGCTTTGGGTCATTGTCCTGCTGGAAGATGAACCGTCTCCCCAGTCTGAGGTCAAAATCACTCTGAAGCAGGTCTACATTCAGGATGTCTCTGTACATTGCTGCATTCATCTTTCCCTCTATCCTGACTAGTCTTCCAGTTCCTGCTGCTGAAAAGCATCCCCACAGCATGATGCCAACACCACCATGCTTCACTGTAGGGATGCTGTTAGCCTGGTGATGAGCTCTGCCTGCTTTTCTCTAAATGTAACGCCTGGCGTTCACTCTAAAGAGTTCAATTTTAGTCTCATCAGAGCAAAGAGTTTAGTTTCTTATGGTCTGAGAGTCCTTCAGATGCCTTCTGGCAAATTCCAGGTGGAGAGTGGCTTCAGTCTGGCCACTCTACCATACTGGCCTGACTGGTGGATTCCACTGTACCAAAGCCAATTTAGAGCTTCGCGCCAAAGGCTGTGAATACTGATGTACATGTGATTTGAGTTTTTTTTTTTTTTTTTTAATAAATTTTCAACAATTTCAAAAACTCTTGGTTCACATTGTCATTATGGGGTATTGTGTGTAGAATGTTGATGAAATAAAAGAATTTAATTCATTTTGGAATAAGGCTGTGACAAAGATATGTGGAAAAAGTGAAGCGCTATTAATACTTTTCGAATGCACTATATATAACTCCTATTCAACATAATGTGTATATATATATATATATATATATATATATATATATATATATATATATATATATATATATAGTTGAAGTCAGAATTATTAGCCCCCTTTTGATTCTTATTTTCTTTTTCAAATATTTCTGTTTAACAGAGCATGTTTAACAGAGCAAGGACATTTTCACAGTTTGTCTGTGTTTTTTCTTCTGGAGAAAGTCTTATTTGTTTTATTTCGGCTAGAATAAAAGCAGTTATTAATTTTTTTTAAAACCATTTATGGGACAAAATTATCAGCCCCTTTAAGCTAATATTTTTTTGATAATCTACAGAACAAACCATCATTATACAATGACTTGCCTAATTACCCTAACCTGCCTAGTTCACCTTATTAACCTAGTGAAGCCTTTAAATGTCACTTTAAGCTGTATAGAAGTGTCTTGAAGAATATCTAGTCTAATATTATTTACTGTTATTACTATAATTTACAATTAATTATAAATATTGTGTTTGCTCCCCCTTACTTATATATTTTTGTGTAAATAAAAAAATATGTAAATGAATATATTGCTATGTTATTATCATGAGGAATTGTGTAATTGTTTGTAGTTTTCTCTCCCTGATTAGGCAATTTAATTTGGAGTATTAACAGCTGTTGTGAATTGGATCTGAGATGGACCGAGATGAATTATTGGAGATTGGACAGGCCAACTGGGTAGATTTACATGGACAAAGGAAAATTAAGACCTGTTAAAAATGATTTAATACCTACTTCTACTAACATTTTAAAGGGTCACGAAACACCAAAACACATTTTTTGAGCTGTTGACAGTGGTATATGTGTCCCACACTGCTAAAAACACTATTAGGACACCTATATTTCACTAAAAAGTGTAAATTGGTTGTTTTTGCGTTATTTTAAGCAAATTCGTACTTCCTGTTTGAAATGAATTTTTGAAGCTGCTCATGACATAATAGTGTGTATTCCAGCGTGCAGACTGGGCGTCTGTGCCAGAGTGTGTCTTATTACGTCTTACAATGTGTTGCATTAATGCATGAGTAAGGCTTGGGTCAAACCAATCAGCGCACTCTATTGTGCAACTTCATTAATATTCATTACTATCACCGTGTTTTCAGGACAGAGACGCCACGTTGTGTTGGCAAAACAAGCGTGAAGTGTTGCTTTTATAGTTTGCTGCAGTGAAGTTTCGTTTTCATTTTCTCTCTGTGAGAGCTCAGACTCACGTGTGGATTAACAGTGTACGCGACGCTCCACAACAATAACTTGCGTGTCTAAGGAGGATTATTGTTTACCTGAGAGCTGTTCTCATCTGCAAACGCTGAGATCTGGATTCGCTTGTAGTATTCTCTTAATAAAGACGCGGCTCTAGTTGCTGGTGATTGTCTCTACAGATTTGGTAAGTGAGCGACCAGTGCTCTTTGTTTATTCAGTTTGTTTGTATCTAACAAACTATTGCACAGAGTGTAAACACGTTAGCACCACAACCAAACTTTACCCTCGTGTAGGGTTTTTACCGCATTTAGTGACCGGAATAACACGCGCGGCTTTCTGACACTACCTGTCGTGTGCATCTAAGTTTCTGGGAAATGCAGAGGGTTTTTTTCTCTCATTCGCCGTGCGGTATCAAACATTGCATGAAAAATACACGCTTAGAGCAGATCCTCAAATCAAATATCTCGTGTGTCGCGAGGGGCATGAATGAATTCCCTGAATGAAAGAGCCAAACTGCAGTTAAAGTCCACCATTTAATCATTTGGCAAATAATTCGACTACAGATGTCCATGTAGGTTAAACACCATCACATTCTCCTGTATGTATGTGTGTGTGTGTGTGTATTTTGACTCTGAAACTCGCGCGTGCCCAAATCGACACTCCCACAACCTCCCACTTTAGTTCCTCCGACACTCCCCCCTAAACAGAGCTGGACACGCCCACTTTTCTGACTTTTTCCAAAGAAGAGGTGTGAAAACACCCTGCTGAAACGAGGGGGTTTCATGGCCCTTTAAGACTTTTTAAAGACATTTTAAGACTCCGCAGACACGCTGTAAGACTATTTTAGCTGTCTGTAGTATGAAACAGGATAAGCATTTTATTACAGCTCTTTTTTATGTGCAACTTCTGAATTGAAAGGAGCATCTCAGCATCAGTCCAATGTGAAAATGAATCTAGCTTTTGTAGTGAATTGCTGTCTCACCTTCAAACAGCTGTTCCTCAGTGACTGGATCACTGGTTGCACGACTTGCGATGTTATCTAGTGTGCATGTGTAGTAGTTCTTTGGATTTCCAGTGCTGTGGACTGTGATGGACTGACTTCGCTCATTACTCGTCAAGGTCTTAATTTCTCCAGTAGAATTCTTCCAAATGATTGATAACTCCATGGTGACGCTTTCATCATACTTGCATGTCAAATATGCAGCTTTTGAGTCGGCAGATTTCTCTATTGTTATCGTAGGTTTGGGCACCCGCTCTGGTAAACATAAACAAATTAATTTAAATTTTAAATAATTAAAAAACATCTAGTCCACAGGGTAAACATTTGAAATGATAAAGGCAAAGGCTAATACCATAGTACTTATGTGTAAACCATAACAAAAAAAGTACTACCATAGTATTAAAATTAAGCATGGGCTGGTATAAGATTCCGATGGTATGATAACCTTGGATAAAAATATTACAGTTTTGCAGTATTGTAGTTATTTGTTCATTCATTCATTTTCTTGTCGGCTTAGTCCCTTTATTAATCCGGGGTCGCCACAACCCATCTCTGGCAAATATTCACACACACACTCATACACTACGGACAATTTAGCCTACCCAATTCATCTGTACCGCATGTTTTTGAACTGTGGGGGAAACCGGAGCACCCGGAGGAAACGCACGTGAATGCAGGGAGAACATGCAAACTCCACACAGAAACACCAACTGAGCCGAGGATCAAACCAGCGACCTTCTTGCTGTGAGGCGACAGCACTACCTACTGCGCCACTGCTTCGCCAGTATTGTGGTTACTGCTCTGAAATTCTGATGTTCTGAGATTCTTTTTACATGTCTGTGTAAAAAACTAAAACTTTTTACCCTTTTAAACACAATATATTTTATTTTGAGAAACTTTTAAAATATTTTGGAGCAGTAAACAGGCTGAATAATTCAAAATGAATTCGAATAAATCATTGACTTCGGCTGTCTTCATTAGTATCTAAAACATAGATTTCAATACAATTTAAAATGATATATTTGGAGATAATTTTAGCTGGAAATACCGTTGTAATAAAAAACTTAAAACAAACATAAAAAAAAAGTTTTACATATACAGTGAGAACGGTGGTATACCTTGAAAACAGTTATCATCCCATGCTTAATTAAAATGTTTATTTTTTATTTCAGTTGTTCGCTGTAAACTCTAAACTCTATGGTGAATGATTTTCACTATTAGTAAATATGACAGTACCATTGTAGGTCAATTACAACATGACACAAGCACTGAAAACACTACTATAGGAGATGATAAAGAGAAACATGTACCAGGACATTTCTAAGACATACATAGTACTGCAAAGTCCAAAACACATAAAAAAACATCAATGTTCGTAAGCGTAACAACAATTACTGCTAAACTCAATTTAATTGTAAAAGTAGTTTGCTATGAAACAGGCACAGTGTTAAACTGTGAAGCTCAGTGTTTAAAACAAATAAATAAAAACATGATGATTTTAATAGTGTAATTATAATAATCTGAATACAATCAATATAGACTCACCTTTAACAGTCAGGCTGAATCTTTGTGTCTGCTCTTTGCTGTTGATGTCAATGGTGTAAACTCCAGTGTGGAAAAAAGTTAAGTTTTTTATAGTGATTTTTCCAGTCTTCTCATCAAGACTTGTGATGCCGAGGAAGTTATTATTCCAGATATTTACACCATCTTCATCATATTCAATCGCCTTGGTAACAGCTCCACTAGTGCTTATGTGTTTCCATATAATGCTGGCTCCTTTAGTGATAGGACTGGCTGGAGTAAAAGAAACTTCATCACCCACTGCTTTCACCTCTTTGCCTAATGAATAAAACATGAGAGAGTATTTTAGTCAACAATCAAATCTCTGTACTGCTTACTTCTATAGAAAATTACAATTGTACAAGGACATAACAATGTTACGTTAATATAAGCTCCAAGCTACATTCCTCAGTATCTATGGTGTTGAATTGTCAAAAACACATTAAAATAGATGATTATTCAAGTCACTGATTGTAAAATGGGTAATATTAATGTACAGTGGTCATAATCCAGAGCTCCCACTTCTAGCCAAAATCTCTGACTTGTACTGAATAAAACACAGAATTTCTAAATTAGAATTAACTTGATTGTTTTAATATTAAAATTATTTGAACTTGAATATACATTTTCATGAATCTAACGGCCATTATTGGATAAAAATATTATGCAAAACAAATATATAATAATTTAAGTCAGATTTTGAAAAATAAACTAAATTACAGCACACAGTCTAACATCCAGGGTTCATTAAATGAAAACTAAAACGTAATGTGACAAACAAAAAGTCCCCGATATTCCACGACTTGAACAAAAACTATATTGAACTCCACGAGTTTCAATAGCTTTAATTGACCTTTTAAATAGTCAAGACATTGCAGACATATCAAGACCCGCACTAGGAACCCCGATAAACATTATATTATCATGTTCTACCGAGTTTACATATTTTGTGTACAGTAGGCCCAATAACCTAGATGCTAGCTTATAGCTAATCTAGCGATAGCTAATCTAGCACTAATGTAGATCACCACAAAGACTATCGTGAACACAACCGCAAACATAATCCAATCACTTGACAAAGATAACCCGCGTTACAACGTTATAATAACGTTATAATAACTATATATGTATAATAACTACATATATTTGCGGTAGAATTTAATTACCGTTAGCATGGTGCTATGCTCAGATGAGATGTTAAGGAACACAATAATAAGTTACCTGAAACTGCTCCTAAGGCGAACACGAAGCATAGGGCGGCAGCCGAGTATCTTAGAAGGAACATTTTCATACAATTTGTACTTTATGAAGCTATTTCTCTATACTATTAGCCAAAAATAGCCGCGCAGGGGAAACACACCCTACGACGAATGTCGGCGGACATAGGAAGCAATGAAACGAAACCGAAACCAATGGGCGAGGGGCGCTGTTTAGTGGAAAGCTTCAGGGGTTATTGCGGCCATCTTGTGGCGAGATTTGGTATAGCGCCTGCTGAAGGCCCCATATAGGGGCTGGTTGGCTGGTTTTAGCTGGTCGACCAGGCTGCTTTAGACGGATTTTGGCCATTTCCAGCCTGGCCTTCGCTGGTCAAGTTGCTCACGAGTTTATTTGTCTGTGATATTGAAGTTTTTTGACTCCTCCACCACAGTCAATAATATCCAGCTGCAGGCCCGCAGAACCACACACGTTCTAGGCGCACACAATCTAGGACACACGATTTAGGCTAACCATATGGTTACGACTGATGTTAATGTTATTAACGTCTTTTTGAACATCGTCATCGATATATTTTGATATATATGGTTAATAAATATTGTACACAATAAACAATAGTGTTTACTTTACTTTATTTCACAAATATTGCGATCGAGACGGGTGAATGGGGAGCGTTGTTTCCGATCGCCATTCAATATAATATACTAAACAGTTTTTAATCAGTCATTATAGCTGATCAGTCATTATTATCTGACAATAATACGGCAGATACTCGTTTGCTGGCCTTGCTGAACGATCTAATTTGGACAGGTTTGATTTATATAATAGATTAATTTTTGATGAAGGAAATAATAGCAAGTTAATAAAGGCAATAATACATTATATGTAATAAAAATCGTTTTACATGTAACAAATGTATAACATTATATAACATATATATAGTATAATATTAATATTTTACTCAAGCGATTTGATAGTGTTTATTAGCTTAATTTTCTAATAATCTTTTAATTAATGATTTCCCACATTTAATACTGTAGTAATTTATAGTAGGCAATAAATTCTTTATAAACCAAAATTTAGCAATAGGAACAAATTAACTATTCATAAAAATAAAAAAAAAACTAACAGCTGTGACAGTTTAGTAAAAGATAGTTTATATATAAACTTTTAATTATAATCAGATTATCAGTTAAGATAATCAGTTTATAGCTTTGTATATTGTTTAAATTATTAACTAGTAGGCTTATTTATTTTAAAGTGACATATTATTGTTTGCTTTTTATATTTTACAACAAAGTGATTTTAACCAAGTATGATAATATTAAGATCTTGAATTAGTTTATTACACTTAATCCAGCAATTAGACGGTCTATAATGTTTTCATTGTGTATATGAACAAAGTTGAGGAAAGTCATAAGTGTCTTTAACCAATTATTTTTATTTACATAATTTCAGTTCAGAAACTGAAAATTCAATAAAATTCAATAGGTGGCGATAATGCTAAAGAGTTAGTCACCATATATGGTTTGCCTAAATCGTGTGTCCTAGATTGTGTTTGCCTAAAACGTGTGTGGTTCTGCGGGCCTTACAGTCAACATCAAATTATATTTACTTCATTATTACACCATTTTATTGTGAATCATTAATGATTGTATGCTTTAGACCAGGGGTGTCCACACTCGGTCCTGGAGGGCTGGTGTCCTGGAGAGTTTAGCTCCAACCCTAATCATGACTAATGATAACAAGCATTAATTTTATTTGAATAATTCTATGCATTAGAAATGGAAAATGTTGACCTATGACTAATAAATGCTGTTCCAGTATTGTTCATTATTAATTCACTTTAGTGAATATTTACTTAATTGTAAAGTGTGACCCATAAGCGTTGAAATTACGGCTACTTATTGATGCACAATTACCCCAAAACTCTCTGCTTGATGGCAATAAGAGATTCTATAGGAGACATAATATTATTCCTCGTCTTTATTTGCATACATTACAGCAGATTCAGAGAAAAACACCAACATGTTCCACAACAAAAATACCAAATGACAACAGTCAGAAGTAAAGGTAGTTGAAAGATATTTGAAAGCTCCAGTTGATTTAGTCAAGCTGAGATCTAAGGCACAGGGAAATAAGTGGAAAAGAGTTTGCATCTGTAATGAACATCCGCAGCTTCATTCATTCATGCCCTCCTCCTACAGAAAGCAGCACAGACACCTTCAAGAACAAAAACAGAAAAATGATCAATGCTTTAAAATTATAAATCGAGCACACGCTATTCAAACACACTCCAAGTACTACTGCATTTTATATATATATATATATATAAATATATATATATACATATATACAACAGTTCTGTCTAGTTCTCGAATCTGATTGGCTGATAGCCGTGATATATTCAAGTAATATCAGCACCCGTACAGCCTCTTTACCCTTTATGTATTACTCCGCAAAACATTCAGCCAGCAAAAAGCAGACACTACAGATCTAAAGTGTAAAAGATGCACGCTCAGCTGTGTAACTGTCAGCTTATGATTTCAATCCAAGGCGGAAGAAGTAGTTCCTCATACAAAAGGGTTTTTTGAGACTCTCCATGTTTATTTTTGTTTTTATATACACAAGTATGCCGTCAAACTGTTGTATAAACGCAATATTACACTCATAGCAGTGCAATATGGTTGTATATTGGCACTGGTGGGGGCACCAAGGCACATCGCACGCTCCCCACCAGTGCCGATATACAGCCATATCGCACTGTTTCACATGTGATATTGCTCATATATCACATAAAAGTCTTTCTAGAATTTAAAGTTAAATGCCATTTTTCACAACTCAGTGAATTCCTGAGTGAAATTTTTGCTTAAAATACCTCGCACAATCGCAAATTGGACAAAAAATCATTCTGAAATGCTATATTCTCCTTGAAGTCTGAAGTTTAAGAGGCGTCAAAGATTGTATTTGGAAGGTTTTGAAGGTCATACAGTCTATTAGATATAGTTTTTTTTAGTTATTAACATATTTTACATGTTACATGTTTACATGTTCTAACAAATTGCAAGTAAATATAAATGTACATCTCACACGAAAAGGATAATTTCTGTATGAGTCAAAGGTCCAAATGTTTAACAAAATGAAACAAAAATTAAACACAATATAATCTTACCACAAATCAGACAGATGACAACTATAACAGTCGAAAGAATGGCAATTAATGGTCCGTTTGTACCTAAAGAAAAAACAAACAAACAATACAGTTTTATTTTTTGATCATTTGCTTTACGAGATGTTCATAACAATCAGAAAAGTAATTTTCGCTATCTGTGTTTCATGGCAAATTTTATTAGATTATTAAGGTTAAAAGTTAATGGGTAAATTGAGTTATAAAAGAGTACATTGGATTATAAATTTAGTTATTAAATTGCAACCTCAGTAAACAACAGATGTGGCCACAAGTACACAAATGTAAATGTACTGTAAACATCCTATGATGTATTTGGGTGATACATTTTTGGTGTGAGAGGCATACCGTACAACTGTTCACAAAATGTGTTTTCATGTATTAAAATAAGCATTAAACAGTCTGATTATATATATAAAAAAAAAGCTCCTTAATATTATCCATGGGCAAATTAATAACTAATACTTACTTTTACCGACCTATTGTGAGCTACAATATAAATAATTGTATTTATTGTATAAAAACGCAGTGATCTATTCACATCTTTAACATCGGAAAAACTACATTACCCATGAGGCTGTACAGAAATCAGCTAATCTGTGTCTACACTGTAATAAATGCATTCCACACAATGGGGTATATGCCGAGCTAGTGCTGTTCCCATGCTGATAAACTTCCGGTGACCTGTTATTGTGAACTTTTTTCCATTTTATATGGTTCCTTTTACAGCATCAATGTTGTAATGTTATTAAAATACATTCAGTTAAATAAACTTTGGCATTTATTTAATTGCTCAATCGTGAAACGAGACAAAAAGCCGTTTACTCGCACGCGCCCGTCAGAATCCGCAGGCTAGAGCAGAAGCTCCATTGAATATACTGGGGTAAAATAAAAGCTCATATTATAAAGATATGGTGGCGGAAAATGTAATTTAATGCAGTTCTTCTTGTACAATCTGAGGCCCACTTTAAATCGGACATCACTCAGCTAGTGGAGATCGCTGATTTTTAAAGAAAACAGACCTTAAACGCACCGGTTTTTGCATTGGCATTCCATTCGCCGGAAGCGCTTAACCCAGGTTACTGGCAAATTAAAAGTCCTACTAGCATTCTTTGTTGCTGGATTGACAACAAAAGCAGGAGCGAGTGCCTGGAGAGCCTTACAATGTAAGCTGCTCTGTTTTTTATAATATTGTTTGTAATATTAATACTTTTTGCTAATTTGAACGCACTTCGAGTGTATTTTTATAATTCTAAATCTGCGTCTCATTTCAGAGTCTGCTGCTGTCCTGCAGAGGTCTTTTTCTGGCTGCTATCAAATACACTGAGACAGCCTTCATGACTGAAATGCCAAGCCAACCTATGGTGCTGAAATATAATTGGTTAAACTGGCAGTGGGCGGAGTTACAGATATCAAAACAAAGACAGACATTTTGACACTGAACACACCTTAAATAACTGATGTCAGTATTTGTTTCTCAGATAAACAAGTATGTTTACTTAGCATGTTTCTTAATTATTTTTCTGCCTTAAAACATACAGCTTACCATAAAACAGCTTCTTCTCATAGACTGGATCACTGGTCTCCATGCTGACTGCGTTTTTCAGTGTACAGGTGTAAAACTCCTCAGGGTTACTGCTGTTGGTCACTTTGATGGTCCTCATATTAGGATCTCTGCTGTTTAGCGTCTGTCCGGCTGAGTTCTGCCAGATTACTGTACTCTTAGAGGAAGCTTCGCCCTCACAATTCAGAGAACAGACAGGAATGTTTTCCAGATCACAGTTTGTTTTTATATCAGGTTTGCTGACACGATCTGTAAATTATAATAGAAAAAAAAAATAGAGAGCAACATACTTAGATTCTGGTCCAAATGTTCTTTACAACACTCTCAAAAATACTAGACAAAATCTGTCACTGGTTTGGGCCTTTTTTGTTTCTAACAGGTCCTTAAATGGTATATTAATATCATATTAATTCCATATTATTTACCTAAAAAGTACGAATGTGTACCTCAGAGTACTTTAAATGTTTTTATAGTTTAATAATTTAACTAATTTAACTTAATAGTTAATTTAGTTTAATTTAACTAATTTAACGTAATAGTTTAACTAAATGTACTACTGTCCACCTATATAGTACAAAAGTGTACCTATTGAAAAGGTGGCATCCCAGTGACACATTTTGCACCTTTATTTCTGAGAGTGAAAGCAATATTGACCGCAAAAATATTGATAAAAGTTGTGTAATTTATTATTATTCATTTCATAAAGCCAATTTTACTTTTATTAGCAACATTAAAAGTATTTGTTAACCAATGTGCTAAACAATTTGACCAATACGGTCAATAAATTGGTTTTAAATTATTAATTTGACTATTGATTTTTATCTATTGGTGTTCTAATTTCTGTCATTTCTAATACTATACATATATATATATACACATACATTCAGTGCATCCGCAAAGTATTCATAGCGCTTTACTTTTTTCCACATTTTTTTATGTTTTATAATTTTTTATGATTTTAAATTGTATTAAATTTTAATTCTTTATTCAATTAATTCATTTCCTCAACATTCCACACACAATCCCCCATAAAGACAATGTGGGAAAAAAGTGTTTGAAATTGTGGGAAAAAAGTGTTTGAAATTGTGGGAAAAAAGTGTTTGAAATTGTTGCAAATTTATTAAAAATAAAGAAGCTGTAAAATCAGATGTACATCAGTATTCACAGCCTTTGGCATGAAGCTGTAAATTGAGCTCAGGTACATTCTGTCTCCACTGATCATTCTTGAGATGTTTCAGCAGCTAATTAGAGTTCACCTGTGCTCAATTCAGTTGATTAGACATGCATACACCTGTCTATAAGGGCCCAGGGTTGACAGTGCATGTCAAAGCACAAACCAAGCATGAAGACAAAGGAATTGTCTGTAGACCTCAGAGACAGGATTGTCTCGAGGCACAAAGAAAACATTCTGCTGGTCTGAAAGTTCCAATGAGCACAGCGGCCTCCATCATCTGTAAGTGGAAGATGTTTGAAACCATCAGGACTCTTCCTAGAACTGGCCAGCCATCTAAGCTGAGTGATCAGGGGAGAAGGGGCTTAGTTAGCGAGGTGATCAATAACCCGATGGTCACTTTGTCTGAGCTCCAGCGTTCTTCTACAGAGAGAGGAGAACTTTACAGAAGGACAACCATCTGTGCAGCAATCCACCAATCAGGCCTGTATATTAGAGCGGCCAGACTGAAGACACTCCCTGCCTGGAATTTGCCAAAAGGCATCTGAAGGACTCTCAGACCATAAGAAACTAAACTCTCTGCTCTGATGAGACTCAAATTGACCTTATTAAAGTGAATGCCAGTTATTAAGTTTGGAGAAAACCCAGGCGCCCCTCATTACCAGGCTAATAGCATTCCTACAGTGAAGCATGGTGGTGGCAGCATCATGTTGTTGGGATGTTTTTCAGCAGCAGGAACTGGAAGACTAGTCAGGATAGAGGGAAAGATGAATGCAGCGATGTACAGAGACATCCTGAATGAAGACCTGCTTCAGAGTGCTCTTGACAGGAGCGACAGTTCATCTTCCAGCAGGACAATGATCCAAAGCACACCGCCAAAATATCAATGAAGTGGCTTCACAACAACTCGGTGAACATCCCTGAGTGGCCCAGCCAGAGCCCAGACCTAAATCCTATTAAACATTTCTGAAGTGATCTGTACATCGTCGCTTTCCATCCACCCTGATAGAGCTTGTGGCATCATATTCAACAAGACTTGAGGCTGTAATCGCTGCCAAAGGTGCAACAAAAAAGTATTAAGCAAAGGAGTACTGATGTACATCTGATTTTTCAGCTTTTTATGTTTTTAATAAATTTGCAACAATTTCAAAACTCTTTGTCATTGTCGCATTGTCATTGTGGGGTACTGTGTGTAGAATGTTGAAGAAATAAATTAATTGAATCCATTTAAGAATAAGGCTGTGACAAATAAATACTGTATCAATACTTTCCAGATATATATATATATATATATATATCAAAAAGATAACTAACAACTAGATAACGAGTTGTTGTTGTTTTTTTTTACATTATTTTTATTATCAGTATTTGTCCCAGCTCAAATGCATTGGCTTTGGATTCTGAATTATTATTATAATATTAAAATAACTTTTGTTACATACACTTGACTTAAATACAACACATTAGTTTCCAAATTTTGTCTGTCCAGGCTTTGTATTTGTACATTTTTATATATGCTTCTAATATTTTCATACTGATTTTATTTTTGTTGTGTATTTTTGGTCATTTTAGTTCATGTTAAACTTAATAGAAATTAAACACACTTCCTTGGACTCTGAATAAAATAAACATTTTGCAATAAGCATTTAAATATTTATTAAATGAATAAATACATAAAAATAAGCATAAAGAAAATTATATATTTTATTCCAAATATAGATAACATTTGCTGCAGTTTCTCTCACCCATAACAGTCAGGCGGAAGTGCTTTCTCTGCTCTTTACTGTTGATGTCAATAGTGTAAACGCCAGTGTGTTTGAGCTGTAAATTTGTCAGAGTGAGCTCTCCAGTGTGTTTGTTCAGACTAGCGTGGGCTCTGAAGTTGTGGTTGGGAATTTCAGTTCTGCCATCATCCTGGTCCCATTCAATGACTTTCACAACAACTCCAGCATTGTTTCTGTGCTTCCATATAATGCTGCTGGTGCTAGGAGGCGGAACAATCGGAGTGAAAGTAACATCAGTTGTCACAGCATTCGTCACATCATCACCTGTAAATCAGACAATCACGGTGATGAGAAATTACACTGTATTAGAAATGATACTCATTAGAGAACTATATCTGAGCTCAATCTCTATTTATCATTATTTAAACCAAACCAAAGCTGTCACAATGCAGTCTATTCTTCATTTATATGATATTTAATTAAACAGAGTGATCAAAATATACATTTAAGTCTGTTTACTGTCATTTTAAAACACTTTTATTCTGTTTAAGCACTTTATTAAACATAAAACCATTCAATTTAATTAGATTTTAATAGAAACACATTTTATTTTAGTGTTTTACTTTAATTAAATCTTATGGATGACTTATCCTTCAGCAAAATTGCATGTTTTATTAAATATAATCCTATTTATTTGTATTTGTTTTACCATTACCTTCAAAGCAAAGCCTGTTTAGCCATTTTTTGTCAAATAATCATTCAGTTCCAGCTTTCATCCCCATTACAGCACTTTGTATACGCATCTAAACACAAAACTGAACATTTACCTGAAGCAGATCGCCAGAATATCAACATCCAGAGAATATTGGTCCCCCTGAAGAACATCTTCACACTGTTTGTCCTCCTCTGGATCGATCTCCTGTGTTTTCTGTAAATATGTAATGTATTCCTGCATCTGTGAGTCTTTTGAGCGCGTATAACAGAGCGCTTTTTGTTTGCCTGAGTCTGTAGGATCAGGAGATCACTGACTGTGTTGTTTACTGCCTCTTGTGGTAGTAAAGCTGTGTTAATGTGACACAAAAGAAAAACGAGAGAAAAAAAACTCAAAATAAACGTTGGGAAAAAGGAATATATTGTTTATTATTTTTGTCTCTTTTTCTTTTCATTAAAGAATTATTTGTACTGCTTTAATTAAAGGTTATAAATTACTGAAATTCTGTATGAGTGTGATATGCTGTGCATACTAATGAAGCTTTTATGCAGAAGTAGATAAACACTTGTCCAAAATTAACTTAAGAAGAAACTGTGGGCACAGCATTTGCAAGTCTTGTGCTTTTTAATGTTGTGCAAAGAATTTATAGAAAAAGAGGACGTATGTCTGGCCAATGGAGGACTGGAGAATGATTGACAAGTGACGAATTTTACTAAAATCCACCTGTTATTATCAGCTGCCTAAAAACACAGGGTTAAAAACTACCCAAATTGGTTTGTTTTTAACCCTACTGCTGGGTAAATATGGTACAGAACACATCAGGGGTTAAAATAACCTAATTGGGTTATTATTTTTACCCTATATTGGTTTTCTACCCAATAATTGGTCATTTTTACTTAAATATTAGGTTCATTTAATCCAAAAAGGCCAGCGAAAGATGACCCAACAATTGTACTGTTTTGACTCGGCATCACTGTAGTACGTGGGGGATGTGCAGCTTTGATTACAGGTGTACTTTTTTGTATAGTATAGACTATAGACTATATTTAAGTATAGACTATTCAGTTCATAAGAGCAGTTCAATATTTTATGAGGGTTGCTGTATACAAAAATAACATTTTGAAATATTTATAATTATCAGCCAATATATATCGGCTTTCGGCCTTCAAGTCTGAAGAATTATCGGTTATCGGTATCGGCCGAAAAATCCATATCGGTGCATCCCTAATAAATACTTAATTTTTGTTTCCCTTATCATCGGTTGTGTGTTCTCATTTTCATCCAACATCATTAAAGACTCACTGAATGTTACGTCTCATCTAATTTAATAACTTAATAACTTAAACACGTAACACCTGTTTCAACTCATTTTTCATTCATTCATTTTCTTGTTGTCTTAGTCCCTTTATTAATCTGGGGTCGCCACAGCGGAATGAACCACCAACTTATTCAGCAAGTTTTTACGCAGCGGATGCCCTTCCAGCCGCAACCCATCTTTGGGAAACATCCACACACACATTCAGACACACACAATCATACACTACGGACAATTTAGCCTACCCAATTCACCTGTACCGCATGTCTTTGGACTGTGGGGGAAACCGGAGCACCCAGAGGAAACCCACACGAACGCAGGGAGAACATGCAAACTCCACACAGAAACGCCAACTGAGCCGAGGTTTGAACCAGCGACCTTCTTGCAGTGAGGCGACAGCACTACCTACTGCACCACTGCCTCGCCACATATTTATATTTTAATATTTTTAAATTATTTTAATTAATTTTACTTTCTTGTTTTTGCTATTCTTGTTTAAGTTAGAACATGCAAACTCCACAAAGAAATAACAACTGGCTAGCAGGGAATTGAAACACTGGCTGCGTCCGATACCGCTTACTACTTACTAGGTACTGCATTCGAATTTAAACGTACTACTCGACCAATAGAAAAGTGAGTTCTATACAATATGAATGTGAAAAGTATGAATGGAGTTCAGACGTACTACATCCACCATTTTGTCATGGTCAGGTGACCCACCTGCGTCAGGTGAGTCGCTTCAGTCCCATTCATGAATTCTCTCGCAGGCCATCATGGGATAGCGCAGCGTGCATGCAATGCGCATTTCAAAATCCACCGGAAGCAGTCATCCAGGTACTTCTCGCATACTGATTTTCGAATTTTATGAAGTCGGACATACTACTCGGCTCGCATACTGATTTTAGCATACTATATAGTATGGAAGTATGCAGTTTCGGACGCAGCCAATGATCTTCTTGCTGTAAGGCAACAGTCCTAACCACTAAGCCACCGTGCCACCCCAACTTCCAAATCATTTTCCCAAAATACCTGTCAAAGTAAGGTTTGTCACAAAACATCCTTCCATTTGCTGAATCTCAGAGGACGTTGAAAACATCTTCAACAGGTGTAGAATGGCCCTCCTATGCAATGAGATGTCTGTCACTGCAATGCAATGCCTCCTACGCTCCTGGGAGTAATCTAGAATGATCAGCGATGACGTCAATGTGTTACGATTACCACGTTTTTCCCCTGTTTTATTTACAGTGATATGACAGGATGTATTCATTACAGCTGCCACTCTTGCACACTGGTGACTCTGCACTGCACGCCTCCAGCCGCATGTATTGTTCCGGAGAGAATCGGAAAGCAACTTCATCTCAAACATATTAAAATACATTTTTGGGGAAATGATGGATGCGATAGTACTCTAATATCACTCAAGACTAATATGAGATTGTATACAGTGAGCATGTTACATCCCTTTATAGGAATATGTCCTATAAAACACTAGAAAGTAACCATTAAAACGTACCCACTTTCATTTTACATCAGTGACGTCAGCTAGAGGTTTACCTGCAGTCTGGGCATGGAAAGAAAAGGAAACCATCACCAACTTTATGATCACAAACAGGAAACTCTTTCTTTTCTTTAGTCGATTATCAAAAGGTTTGAGTATTTGCTGTATTCAGTAGAGCAATGAGCTGCCAACACAATCTCTTGCTTTTATTCCTCTGTGACTTCGCCGCGCTCACTGGTAGGTTCTGATTTCTCTTAATATAGACGTGTGAACAGACTGTTGGGGTTAAATTTTAATTAGAATAAATTATTATTATTAATAAATTATAATAAATAATTAAAATATAAGAACGTTTATTAATTAAGAATAAATTGAAATTAAAATATAAGAACGTTTATTAATTATTAATTTTGGTCTGGGCATATTGGCATGCCCAGACTAAAAGGTTCTAATTCAGCACGTTGTGTTCATAATCCAGGCTCATTTGCTTTCCAGCTGGTTATACAGTGCTCAACATATATGCGTACACCTCTCACAAATCTGTCTTGAAAATTCATAATTATAATAGGAAGCTCTACAACATTATATTTGTATACATACATTAGTTTAGTTAGTACTGAAGCCAAATCTGGAGCTTATCTACTAAATAACTTATGATAACAGTCCAAAAACTAGAACAGCCAAATTTATGTTTTAGAAAAATATTAAAATTATTATTTATTTTTAAATATTATATAATATTAAAAATATAAAATGTAATCAGCAGGAAAAATCAAGAGAAGCAAAAAAAAAATAGTTGAAATTTTGTAGGTTGTAATTTATTTCTGCAATATTTCACTTATATTTCACCTGAATTGTATTATCTTTCAATTTCTAAATATGTTTGGTGATTAAAATATTATTTTAATAAATATATCTATTTAACAAATCTAGGCTAATCATTTTGCTTCAACCATATTTATTCCTGAATGTTGTGAGTTTGTGTTATTATTATTCACAATTGACTTGGTTAGATTTTAAATACCTACAAACATTTGTTTTTGAATGATCCAGTTGTGTTGAAAAGAAACTTCTCTTCATTAAACACTTGAGAAATAGGTTTAAAATCATTTAAATTTCACAGGAAGGCTAATCTTTTTGCTTCAGCTGTATATACAATATAAACCTAAAATCATTTGATTACAGTCTCAGCACAGACATGTGGAGAACAAGTGCTAGAAGGAACATCCTGCAGCATTTATGGAAAAACAAGAAACAATGAAAAAGCTGCAGATATCAGATGGGCCTTTACCTCCAGTAATGGAAACTCAGCTGAATGGAAAAAAGGATCCAGGAGAAAACCTCCAGCAGGATTAACAATAGAAGAAGACGGATCTTTACGATTTATAAGTGTTGATCAGAGTAACACCGGCACATATAAATACAAAGCTTTTAATGCCAATGGCCAACAGATTGGGGATGAAACTGTGGAACTGAAAGTTTATGGTGAGAAGACAAATTTTTAAAGCCTTCCAACATAATAACTACAATCTTCTCTGCAATATTTTTACTATATAACACTGTACATTTCTGTAGGAGTTTGTGAATCTGCAAATAACATCATGTTTCTGTTACAGCGAAGACTCCTAAACCTACTGTGAAGCGTGAATGCACAACTAATAGCGTAATACTCATCTGTGACACTGCAAACTATAAAGATCTGAATATATTCTGGTATGAAGATGACAAGATCCTGAAGGATGAAACAAAACCTTATCTTACGTTAATGCGGTCTAAAATGAAGAAGAACAAAGGGTACTCATGCAGTGTAAGTAATCCTGCCAGCTATAAAGAGACAAAACCTGCAAAAATTAAATTAATTAATTAATAAATGCACACATTATAGACAGGATGGATGGATGGATGGATGGATGGATGGATGGATGGATGGATGGATGGATGGATGGGTGGATGGGTGGATGGGTGCTGTAGGTAGGTAGGTAAACAGATAGATAGATAGATAGATAGATAGATAGATAGATAGATAGATAGATAGATAGATAGATAGATAGATAGATAGATAGATAGATAGATAGATAGATAGATAGATAGATAGATAGATAGATAGATAGATAGATGGATGGATGGATGGATGGATGGATGGATGGATGGATGGATGATTGATGGACGGACGGACGGACGGACGGACGGACGGACGGACGGACGGACGGACGGACGGACGGACGGACGGACGGACGGACGGACCGACGGACCGACGGACCGACGGACGGACGGACGGACGGACGGACAGACGGACAGACAGATAGACAGATAGACAGATAGATAGATAGATAGATAGATAGATAGATAGATAGATAGATAGATAGATAGATAGATAGATAGATAGATAGATAGATAGACGGACCGACGGATTAATGGATGGATGGATGGATGGATGGATGGATGGATGGATGGATGGATGGATGGATGGATGGATGGATGGATGGATGGATGGACGGGTGGATGGGTGGATAGATTGATGGATGGATAGATAGATAGGTAACTGAAGGAAAAACTGATGTAACAATAGAAAAATAAATACAAGTAATACATGATTTAATACAACAGGATTAAACTCAATAAAATAATTGAAATATCTAGGTCAATAAATTAATTATTTGTAATTATTATGTTTTTAATCCATATTTTATTATTTAAACTGTAATTTTTATTTGTTTTTCTATTTATTTAAGCATTTATTGTTATATTGATTTCTGTTTTTCTATTTACTTATTACCGTATTGATTTATTTACTTATTTATTTGTATGTTAATTTATTTTAGCTTGGTTAGGATTAAATATAATTCAAAATAAAATTTATCTGTAATATATTATATGTGTATATTATGTATTATATATAGGTGCAGTCCTCTCCAGTCAGCAGAGAACATAGCAACAGAATTACAGTCTCAAGTAAGTAAAGTTTACTGCATATGCTTCTCACTCCTGAAATGTACTGACTAGGTGTTTTGTAAATTTTAAATGTATTAAATATATTTAATTCAAATGTACTTGTTTGTTATTGATTGCATGATTACATCTGTTCTTATCCTACAGGTAGCAGTCCAGGCCTTTGCTTAGATTTCTGGGTTATGCTGAGCATTTTAGCAGGTGGAGGAGCTCTTCTGCTTCTCCTATTATCTGTTCTCATCTGCTGTGCATGTCGAAGTTATGGTCAACACAAGAAGAACCAACCAAGCAAGTACATTTTTAAGATATACAGTAAAGAAAAATGATTAGCTCTCATTTTAATTTTTATTCTTTTTCAAATGTTTCCCAAATGATGTTAAACAGAGCAAGGAAATTTTTACAGTATGTCTAATAATATTTTTTCTTCTGGAGAAAGTCTTATTTGTTTTATTTCGGCTAGAATAAAAGCAGTTTTTAATTTTTTAAACACCATTTTAAGGTCAATATTATCAGCCCCTTTAAGCTATATTTTTTCGATAGTCTACAGAACAAACCATCATTATACAATGACTTGCTTTATTACCCTAACTAATAACCTAGTTAAGCATTAAAATGTCACTTTAAGCTGAATAATAGTCTCTTGAAGAATATCTAGTCTAATATTATTTACTGTCATCATGGCAAAGAGGAAATAAATCAGTTATTAGAGATGAGAAACTATTATGTTTATAACTAGTTATTAGAAACTATTATGTTTATAAAGCTGTTGAAATAATCTGCTCTTCCTTAAACAAAAATGGGGGAAAAATATACAGGAGGGCTAATAATTCTGACACACTGAGCAATTATCAGTATTTTGCATTAGATTAAAAATGTTAAGTTGTGTAATGTGTAATAGTTTTTCCGGGTTTTGAAACTAAAGAAGAAAAAAGTTGCACCTTTAAAACAAATAAAATCAACTGTTTGATTGCTTCTCTGGGATAAATTCAGATTTTGGATGTTAAACCAATAACATTAGGATTAATTTTGTGTTCTCTATTTTATCACAGGTTTTGAGACCCACTTTGTCTACAGAAATGATGAAGAAACAGACTATGAAACCGTTAATGTTACGAAACATAAGAAAGCAACAGCCTGCAACATCTCATAGACATGATTTTACATAATAAATTACATTTTTATTCATCATAACCATCCTTTTTCTTGTATCTTTTATGTACATCAGAAAATTCACTCACTTTCCTTTGGCTTAGTCCCTGATTAATCAGTGGGTGCCACAGTGCAATGATCCACCAATTACTCTGACATATGTTTTGTACAGCAGATGCCCTTCCAGCTATAATCCAGCACTATAGGAATTAGGGCTGAAACTTAAAATCGAATAAAATAATCAAGTCAATTTGTAGTAATCGAGCTTTGTGTAAAAATATTTTAATCAATTTAATGCAAAACATTACTATGTTGGTGCAGTGGAAACGCCAACAGGAGAACATGCAAACTCCACACAGAAATGCCAACTGACCCAGTCAGGGCTCAAACCAGCAACCTTCTTACTGTGAGGCGACAGTGCTAACCACCTACCATAATAAACAATAACCTGCAATGTCTCTTAGGCATGTTCTTACATGGCAAATTAATACATCATAACCAACATTCCTTACCTGTATATTTATATGCTTCAGAAAATATATTCTCTGTAATGATTTCTTCAAATCGCAAGTGTGAAAACCAAATAGAAAACAACTCTTGTCTGAATATAAATGCCATGACTTGGGTTGAAATATTCTAAAATATCCATTTATATTTTTATTATTTCGCTTGTAACATATTGATCTCATTGTTTAAAGGATAAGACTGTTGTTTGTCATGCATGTAATGCACTATATTGTACACAAACTCTTGTTTTTCTGTGCTCGACTGGAGGGAGTTCCTCCTCCTGGCTCTGATTAAAGCATTTTCAAAAGTATTGTCTTGAGTCTCATCTAGTTATTGCTGCAGAATAGTGGAATACTGGAGATCTTATTTCCCAAGCCTTATTTCAAAAGGGCAGAGACACACTGAGGTTAAATTTATTCACAAGCATGAGGGGTATTTTGACTTGAGAATCCCTAAAAAGTTCCACTAAGAGATTCCTACCAAATCTAAAAGCACCAAAACAAACACATCTTAACCCTATAAATCCATGCCCCTTTTTTACCCCTTACAGCTGCCACACTGTGGTCAATAGCATCATTCCAAAATCATGTCTTTAAGGGGATAGTCTACCTAACAATGTGAATTATTTTACTATTTACTCACCCTTTACTTAGTTTTACTACAGAGTTTTTTATTAGGAGCTTTCTGCAGAAAACTTTCTATAAAACAGATTCTCTAATACAGTGGTTCTCAAACTGTGGTACCTGTACCACTAGTGATACGCAGGCTGACTTCTAGTGGTACGCAAAATAATCCAATATGTCACATGTACATGCAACATATGTTTCAAAACTTATCAAAAATGGTTTATAAATTAATATGATGAAATATAGCCTATATTTATAGGGGCCAAGCAAGATTTCCAGGTTTTTATGACTAGGGTACTACTGATGAACACTTAACATAAGTACAGCTGTTTTTTTTTTTTTTTTTTTTTTTTTAAGAACAGTAAACTACCATTTTTTACTTTTACAAGCTCATTTTAATTTAAAGGTTGACACTTTATTTTGTTTGTATGTTTGTTTTTTCACATATAAGCACGGTACAGTGTTAATGTTTAAACTATTTATAGTATTTAAAGTGGCTGATAAAAATAAATACTTCTAATAATAGCAGTTAATCTGCCACGTTTTTTAACTGTGCAGAGCTGTAGTTGCTTTACTGGGCCTACTACGCTGCTGTATTTCAATACTGCTCATTATGGTGGTACTTGGAGGGACAGTTTTTTTCTGAGGTGGTACTTGATTAAAAAAGTTTGAGGACCACTGCTCTAATACACATGCAAAAAAAGAATGCATTTCTGATCTATCCCACAAGATGGCAGCATTACACTGAATAAAATGTATTTGCCTGTAATTCCACTAGGTCACTGGTCTACAGATGACCCATTTTGGGTTTGCAACCACTGTCCTAAATGATCAGGTGTGAGACAAAAAAAATTACATTAAGCACAGGCATTTCAAACTTTATATAACAAGTACACAAAATCAACTATCGCTAACACTCATTAACATAAACCAAATACCCATACATGCTTAAAAATGTCTGAAAATGCTTCAATTTTAGTAACGGATCCAAACTTTGCAAATGCTTCAAGAGCATCAAAACAAACATATTCTTTATAACAAACACAAATTAATAATGTAAAAAAAAAAAAAAACATACACACATATTAATCAACAACTACAGCATGAATCATTAAGCAGTTTTCAGCTGCAATGTTTGGAATAGAGTCATTAAAAAATATCTAATACTACAACATTATTAGCTTTAATTGATGTCCTGATCAAACAGACTGTTTGCTGTCGATTAAATTAATATTCATTGTCGATTATTATTGTAAATAATGTTGCTCAGTGTGTCATCAGGAGCCCCGGATATTGATTTGGACTCGTTTTATTGTTAGTTTACAAAACCTGTCACCATTCCCTGCCATTATATGAATCTACAAGGACCACACATTCAGCCTAGAATCTTCTTTAATGTTCTGCTGAAGGAAAACAAAAATCTCCTACATCTTGGATAACCTGTGGTGGTGTAAATGAAGAGGTAATTTTTAATTCTGGGTGAACTATCCCTTTAAAATGAAGTAATCTTAAAGGGGTAGTCTAATGCTATGAACTCTGAGCTGTTTACACAGTTAAAGAGGAATCTCATACCTAAGCATGAGTTTTAAAACACTATTAGAACATAACACAGAGTATTAATTCTGCAAAGATCTTATTTCCGGGTGGTGACTAATTTGTTTTTGTTTTTCTCCCCTGCTCTTGGTTATTAAAAGAAAAGCAGAACGTTTTTTATAGGTGCTAAATTACTTGATCAGACACCTCTTCATGAGTTATTTACAACTAGATCTGCAGAATATATCACGCAGCATCAACATTGCAATGTTACAAATGCATCTGCAGTAGTCACATCACAGGATATGTGTAATATGTCCTAATTACAGTCAAATGTGGAGTTACTGCAAAGTTTAATCATAATAAAATGAAAATTATCATTTGCATGCATCTCTAGGTCTGTGAGTGTGCATTTCAAGCTAATTTAAAGCATTCATGTGCAAAATATTATAATAAATGACATGGGTAAGACTGATCGCAATGCTCTAATTATGTCAAAGGGTTATTTTGATTACTAAGTTGTTCCCCTGTTTTATTTTCAGATATGACAGGATGTATTCAGTAAAGTTGCACACTGTTGACTAATGGTTCACCCATGGCACTCACTTTCTTTCGGCGAGTATTGGAAAGTTGTACCTTTGTCTTAAAATGTAAAGATTTTTTAGATGAAAGATGGATGCAGTAATAATCTATTGGCATTTAAGATTAATATGAGCATGTGAGGATGTTAAATCCCTTTATAGGAATATGTCCCATAACAGACTAGAAAGTGACCATTTAAATGTACAGTTTAATGGTTAGAATTTGACAATTTGTTTATGCTTTTAATAGATTTTAACCATTAGAACTTCAGATATGGTTTCTGTTTTCTTTACACAGCATATACATTATGGTCTTCATGACATACGGTGGTTTTGTGCGTGCATGCACAGTGTGACAAATCTTTCATGCATTCATGTCAGTGATGTTCTGCTAGTGCTTGCAGTCTGTGCATGGAAAAAAAGGAAACCATCACCAACCTTTGATCACAAACAGGAAACTATCTTTTCTTGATACGATTGTCATAGGTTTCTAGAGTTTTTGCTGTATTCTGAAGAGCAATGAGCTGTCAGCACAATCTCTTGATTTTATTCCTCTGTTGCGTCGCTGCGCTCACTGGTAGGTTCTGATTTCTTTCATATACATGCGTGAACAGACTGTTCTAAATAAAATTAGTATGAATTGATAACACTTTACAATAAGGTTGTAGTAGCTAATGTTAATGCATTTACTAACATGAACAAACAATGAACAATACATTTATTACAGTACTTAAACATGTTAAAGTTAAAGAACATACAGTTGTTCATTGTTAGTTCATGCTACCTCGCGGTGCATAAACTACTGTTAACAAGCAGGAGTTTAAATGATAACAATGCATTAGTAAATGTTGAACTATTATTAATAAATGTTTATTATTAGTTCATGTTCATTATTAGTTCATTGCAAAGTGGGACCATAAATTGTAATTATGTAAATAGTTGTTGATTGATTTTAAGTCAACTCACTATGATAGTTCATTGTAGTTAATTAAGTTTCATATGTAACAAAAGAAGCACTGTATAGATAATGTTTTGTAGCATGTCAAGTAACATATCTAGAAAAATCTACTTCCAATAGAGGATTTTTAAAATCATATCATAATTTACGGCACTCTAATGCACACAAGAAACCAATCACATGGCCTTGTTTGATATGATTTTGTCATAATTTAATTTATCCAGACATAATCAGATTACAGATACACACTCATAAAGGTATAAAATCTGTCACTGGGCTGGTACCTTTTTCATTTTTGTACAGGTGGACATTAGTACTTTTATGGTTCACTTCTGTACCTTTAAGACACCATGAGGTCCACTTTTGTGCTTTTTAGGTATTAATATGTACCTTTAAACATTTGTTAGGAACCAAAAAAATGTACCTTAGATATTGTACCTTTATTCCCGAGAGTGTATTCTGGACTCATCTGCCTTACAGTGGGCTACGTAGACTATTACTTATTAGTAAATAGTAAATATACACCGTTAAAAAGAAATCTCTTAATTTAAAATAGTGAATTGCATTATGGGATGTTGATCTTGGCTTTGTCAACATTGAATGGTGAAAAATCGACTCGGCAATTCAACAAAGTGACTTATTGACAATATAATAATATAACATATATGCAATAATAGAGAGAGAAATTAGACTGTAAAATAACAGAAAATATGCTGCAGTTTATTACAAGGTTTTTGTAGTTACAACGCAGACACTATAGCACTGCAAACTATTAAAAATGTTCATAAAAGTCATTTTTTCTAACTTTTCATGGTTAAAAGTTGTTGGAAGAAAGATCAAGATCCTCTAATGCAATTTAAAAGAATATATAAACAGGGACTATAAATTAAAATAACAATCAAAAATTGTTCCAAATACTATGAAAAACTGCTACATTACAAATATTTTTAAGTGTATTTCTGCACCATTTGGTCTGAAATTGAAATGTGAAGCTTCACACAGACAGATCAGAAATGACACTTTATGTTGTGTGATTGCTTTAAAAATAATAATACGATTTCACAACTAGTCAAACTGCTCTGAAAATAATACAATATTTTATTATTATTATTATTATATTATAGGCTATCGCAATCTGTGTGTTGACACGTCTTTATCAGTTCAGTTTAGGTCAATCACAGTAACAAGGAAACTATACTTGTTATACTTTTTTATATCTTGCAAGTCTCGCAACTTTTTTTCCTTAGAACTGCATTTTGCAATTGTGACTTGATTTCTCAGAACTGCAAGATAGAAAGTCGCAATTCTGATTTCATAGCTTGTAGTTGGGAACTTTTTATTTCAGAATTATGACTTTTTTTCCCAGGATTGTGATTATTTTTTCCTGTGATTGCTTCTTGGACACTGTAATGTTTAAGATTTAGTGTCAGAATGTTAAATTAACAAATTCTACTGTCCATAATGGTTTTGTTACCTTTTTGCCCTTTTAATAATTTACCCGTTTAATGATAAACAAATAATTTTTTAAAGGTCAGACTATGTAATGCAGATCCCTATTTGTGAAATGTTGTCTGATCCAGTTTGTTAAATACAATTAAACGAAAATTAGTTAAATATAATCAAAGAATTTAAAGTATTGTAATTAAAGTTTTCGTTAAAATCCTTTTATTGATTACAGTCTCAGCACAGACATGTGGAGAACAAGTGCTAGAGGGAACATCCTGCAGCATTAATGGGGAAACAACAAACAATGAAAAAGCTGCTGAAATCAGATGGGCCTTTACCTCCAGTGATGGAACCACAGCTGAATGGAAAAAAGGATCCAGGAGAAAACCTCCAGCAGGATTAACAATAGAAGAAGACGGATCTTTACGATTAGAAAGTGTTCGTCAGAATAACACCGGCACATATAAATACACTGCTTTTAATGCCAATGGCCAACAGATTGGGACTGAAACTGTGGAACTGAAAGTTTATGGTAAGAACACAAATATTTACATCCTTCCAATAAAACAAACTAAGATCTCATATTTCAGGTGGATATCTGCTAATAACCATCATGTTTCTGTTACAGCGAAGGTTAATAAACCTAATGTGAAGATTGAATGCAAACCTGATGGGACTGTTACACTCCTCTGTGACACTGGAAACTATAAAGATCTGAAAATATCCTGGTATGAAGACGACAAGATCATGCAGGATGAAAAAACTACTCATCTGACCCTAAAATCGACTAAAATAAACGAGAACACACAGTACGCATGCAGTGTAAGCAATCCTGCCAGCAGTGAACAAAGTGACAGAATTACAGTGCCATGTAAGTCTCTTCTCATTCCTGAATGTTGTGAGTTTGTGTTATTATTATGCACAATTCATTTGTTCAGATTTTAAATACCTACATATGCTTTTATATGATCCAGTTGTTTATTGTTGATTTTATTATATCATTTCCTTACAGGTAGTGGCCCAGATCAAGGTAAACTTATTATTATTATTAGTAGTAGTAGTATTAATATTATTAGGTTAGTGAGGCTAAGAGAAAAAACTAATATATGTAAACTGTAGCTATAAAGCGTGATGGTTTTACAGTATTAATATTAATGAATATTAATGAACTCAACTATTTAGTCTCCACTTCACTTCCTAAGCTGCAATTGCCTCTTTGAATATCACACTAATTGTACAAAAAAAAAAAAAAAAAAAAAACTACTAACACTTCCCTTCTTAGACTTTACAGACCTGAAACTTGCCTTTAGTACTTATTCATTGTTGCTCTTAGTTGTGTAAATTGCTTCCTTGTCCTCATTTGTAAGTCGCTTTGGATAAAAGCGTCTGCTAAATGACTAAATGTAAATGTAAATGTGAATATTATATCAACTCAGAATCAACATTGAAGATAAATCGTTGCTCCCGCTCTTTACTGTTGACGTCTAAAGATATTTTTTGGGTCATTCTCAGGTTAACTGTCCCTAGGATTAGGCAATATAAACAAAATCATATCGAATCGCAATACAATTTATGTGCATATATGCTCTGGACATTTTACTCTACATTGATCTAAGAGCAAATCACACAGCAGAAATGTGCACCAACGGGAATCTGGAAGTGTGTTGATATTAGAGATACACCAAATTTACGGCCACTGAAAATAGGTTAAGCTATTTAACCGACCATCTAAACGTTATTGTTTAATATGGAATAATATTATTTGAGATTGCATATCTTTTGCCATATCGCCCAGCCCTAACTGTGCCTAAATATTTCAATACATTTTGGTGATATGGCCCACTGACAACCGCTTTTACTGTTTTGGTCACACTTTACAAAAGGTTTCCTTATGTGTATTCACTAACATGAACTAATAACAAACAATATTTGTACAAATATTGAACAATAAAGTACATTTATTAATCATAGTTCAACATTTACTAATGTATTATTAACACTCAATTCACGCTTGATAACATTAGTTAATGCCCCGTTAGTTAACATGAATTAACAACGAATAACTGCATTTTAACAGTTACTGACGTTAACTAACATGAGCAATACTGTAATAAATGTTTTGTTCATTGTTAGTTAAATGCATTACCTAATATTATCTTCTGCAACCTTAAGTGTTACACATGTTTCTGTTACAGCGAAGGCAACCAAATCAACTGTGAGGCTCAACAGTACAGCTAAAGGGACGGTTAAACTCATCTGTGACGCTGGAAATGCTAAAGATCAGACTATATCCTGTTATGAAGACCACATGAAGGATGAAACGAAAACGAATCTGACCTTAACATCGTCTAAAGTGGAGGGTAAACGGTACTCATGCAGTGAACAAACCAGCAGTAAACTCTCATGTGAGTCATTTTTATTGCACGTCATGATTCTCACTCCTGAAATGCACTGACTTTGTGTTTAGATTTCTCAATGAATTATATGTACGCTCACTATTTCGCTTGCTTAAATGTCGCGTGTACATGTCTTATAATGTCGCGCAAATTTAAGATTTGATTTCTTTAAAAATCACTGATCTTGCCTGATTGATATACAATACATCGTGGGTCTCAGACCGGACAAAAACCACTGCATTAAATGATTTCTCCACACTATGTCTTTAAAATATGGAAATTTATTATACCCAAGTATTTTCAATGGACTTTCTGTGCTAGCCTGCAGTTCTTGATGGCGCTTTTGTAGTCTTTCATCTTGTTTTACACTTGAACAACTACACAAATGCTGAAGTCTATTTAACCGATTGTATTTTAATTACATTACAACATCGATTCTGTATAAGAAACCTTACGAAATTGAAACCTTCAACAGGACATTTAGTGTTGGCTGAAAGCATTATAGTAGCCCACTGCATTAAAGCGATTTGTTTAAAGAAGTCCACTTGTTTGTTTCTGATTGCATGACGTCTGTTCTTGTCCTGCAGGTAGCAGTCCAAATCTCTGCCTAAATTACTATGCCGTGCTGGGCGTTTTAGCAGGCGGAGGAGTTCTTCTGTTTCTGCTTATTTGTGTTTTCATCTGGTGTGCGTGTCAAAGCTGTCGCAAGAAGAATCGACTACTGTAGGTAAGACATAAAGATAACTCTAACATGCTGAGAAATGCTATTTGTCAACCAAACTGCATTTCGTAATCTCACTCAATATCTCAATATATGTGTACATTAGCAGTTTTACATATTTTGTGATTCATGTTTTTATTTTCCCTCATTTATTTCTGCTTTTGAATTGCATGATGAGTTCCTGATCTTTCTTCCAACACCGTTTAACCTTAAAAAAGTTGGGAAAAGTGACTTTTATTTACGTTTTTAATAGTTTGCAGTGCTATATTGTCTGTGATTGTGTTGTATATTACAGTACAAAAACCTTGTAATGAACCCTTTGCTAAGCCCTGCCCTCCTTAGTTACTGTTGCTACGCCTGTCAAGCTTTCGTGCCTGGCACGGCTTTTTTAATGTGTATGTGCCGGTGTCAGACATTGCCAGGAATATAATGTCATTTTTGGCGAACAGATGAGATATCCGAGAAAGCCAAACAAAAAAGGACTGCAGTCTGCATTACAGAATATACCCCACATAATAGGCAACCGATTAGAGAATAAATAAATCAAAATTGAAGCTAGCTTAGCCTAGCCTCCTCATATGCTAACCATTCAACAGCTTAGCTCGTGCTCAGCAGGAGAGGTGACATTTAAAAATAATCTAAATATAATAAATGAAACCGTGATTTCTCTATTAACCGTGCAATGAAATATAGCGTTACTAACCAACGAGGAAACACGCATGACAGTGCTTTTACATAGTTCATTCATAGATAGAACAGCCAGAAAGGGGAAACTGATGGATTTGTGCTGAATATTAGCATCATTGAACCATAACAATGTACAGTAAGTTACCTATTACTTTCAGTGTGTTTGTGTGCTCTTTATAAATGACTGAAAAACAGCTGCTGGTGAAGTATATTGATCGCAAGTGCACAGTTTGTGATCTCATCTCGGTTTTGTTCTGTACATTTGTAATTTCAAATATTCGTAGCCTGAAACAGATGGAAATATGAAGTTCAGTAAAGTTAGCAACAGATTCGCAGATTCACATTTTCCAGATCAATAACTCATGTCATTATGATCTATTTGCTATAACTTCGTTACTAACGTTATGGTGAAGGCTTAAACGGAGCATTACTCATAATATCAAGTGAAAAAAAGGAATAAGACCGCTGTGAAACAGAATCAGCTTTGTGTTTTTGTAGGAAACACAGTTTACATCTGTTTAGGGTGAGAGGTGTGTCAGTTATTGTTATCGGTCTATCACTGAATGTATCAGGAATATCAAAACAAAACCAACTTAGCTCCACTCCTTTAGCGCCCCTCACACCGCTTGATCCACGCTGGCATGTCTCCTCTTGGGTTTTAGGTCTTAAAAATGGAAAAAAAATCCACCATCCCGTCCAAACTTTTAAGGAGACCGGGTATCAGATTTGCACAATCCATATGCACTCGCTCGAAAGCTTGACATAGCCCCTGCACGTAGCTACAGTTGCTAAGCCACAATTGGTGGGTGGCAGTTTTCGGGCATGGCTTAGCGAAGGGTTAATGCTGCCAGTACATTTTCTGTTATTTTCGGACTTATTTCTCTATATATTGTTATCTCAAACTACTAAAATGTCAGTAAAAGTCACTTTGTTAAACTGTAGAGTTGAATTATCAAAAACAAAAGTCAACAGAGAAGATCAACATCCCATAATGCAATTCACAACCATAAATAAAAGTCAATTCAGAAAATGATTTTGTTTTCAGTGTATTGCATGTTAAATCCACAGTATTAGGGTTAACTTCAGTCTTCTCTGTTTTATCACAGGTTTGGGGACTAATTTTGTCTAATGATGAAGATATTATGAAGCTTATCCATAAAGCAAAAAATAATAATAATAAAATAAAAAATTATGTGTGTGTGTGTGTGTGTGTGTGTGTGTGTGTGTGTGTGTGTGTGTAAAACAATAACCTGCAATGTCTCTTACGCTTCAGAAAATATATTCTCTGTAACAATTGATTCAACTCGTGTGTGTGAAAACCCAAGAGAAATCAGCTCTTGTCTAAATATAAACATCATGACCTGGGTTGATATATTTTAATTATTTTTTTTTTCACTTGTAACATATTGATCTCACTGTTTAAAGAATAAGACTGATGTTTGTCATGTCCTGTAAAGCACTATATTGTACACAAACTCTGTTTTTCTGTGCTCTGCTGGAGAGAGTTCCTTCTCCTGGCTCTGATTAAAGCATTTTTACAAGTATTGTCTTGAGTCTCATCTAGTTATTGCTGCAGAAAACAGTGGCACACTAGAGATCTTACTTCCCAAGCCCAAGTGTTCAAACTGTCCGAGTCCAAATCTGTTAATAGTAGACATGCTGAGGTTAAATTTATACACAAGAGTCCACTGAAGGTAACTTCGACTTGAGATTCTCTCAAAGGTGCACTAAGAGATTTTTACCAAATCTGAAAGCACCAAAACAAACACACCTTATAACCCAATAAAACCATGCCCCTTTTTACATCTCCACTTTGTTGTTGTTGTAGACAACACAGCCCTTACTGCTGATTGGCTGCCACACTGAGGTCAATAGTCTTCAGAAATCTTTTAGTGTGTCTTTAAAGGGATTGTTCACTCAAAAATGCTAATTCTGTCATCATTTACTCACTCTTTACTTGTTTTAAACCTTAAAGAGAGGTTTTTTTTTCTCTTGAACACAAAATAAGATTATAGAGTAACATTGGAAACCTGTAACCATTGACTTCAACAGTATTTGTTTTTCCTACTATGGAAGGTATTGGTTACAGGTTTATAGCTTTCTTTATAATATCATCTTTTGTGTTCAACATAATATTTGAAGGAGAGTAAATAATGAGTACATTTTCTTTTTTGGGGGTGAACTATCTATTTAAGACACTATACAGGTCGGATAGTTTGTTTCTTCTGATGAACAGAAAAAAATAGATATTTAGAAGAAGGTTGGAAACTGGTAGCAATTGACTAGGACAGATTTTTTTCCAATACAAACTAGGAGAAACAGAAAAAAAAGAAGAAAGATTTTACAGATGAAATGAACTGGTAATTAGAAATAGAAATAAAGTAATTAGGTACCTTGTGAGAAATAAAAATAAAAATGCTAATTTTATTCTAGCACACAAGACGACAGCATCATATAGAATAAAATGTATTTGCCTCTATTTGTATATTTAAGCCACCAGGTCTCTGGTCTAGACATCAAACCAATTTTGGGTTTGGAACCACCATCCTAGATGATCAGGTGTGAGAAAATAAAAATGGCTATAAATCATGGTTTTTAAGGTTAGAATTTGACATTTTGCAATGCTTTTAAAGGTTTTTAGCAATTCAAACTTGATGATGGTTCCTTTTTTCAGCACGGATAACTTCACACAGCCTATACAGTATATGCAACATAACATATTGTGTGCTTATGCAGGCATGCTCAGTATGCAACGTATGACCAGATTCATTTCACATCAGTGACGTCAACTAGAGCTTCAGTCTGCTCATAGAAAGAAAATGAAACCATCACCAACTTTTTGATCACAGACAGGCACGTTTTCTTTTTCTCAGACAATTGTCAAAGGTTTCTTGAGTATTTGCTGTATTCAGTAGAGCAATGAGCTGTCAGCACAATCTCTTTTATTCCTATAGCCTCGCTGCACTCACTAGTGCTTTTGATTGCATTTATAGATGTGTGAACAGACTGTTGTGATTACAATATAATTAATATAAATTGCAATTAAAATATAAGAGTTGTTATGCAGATTGAATATAACTTTAACTCCATATGAGTTTATGATAGATAATCAAGTTTTGTAAGTAACCAAAGAAGCACTGTATGGATAATGTTTAGAATGTTTTGTGTTGATGTCAAGTAACAAAAATGCACTGAGCTGTCACAGATCCAGATTTTTTTATCGTACTGTAATTAATTACACCCTGGTGCACATCATTTGATTCATCCAGACCCGATCAGATTATGTGCATGTGTAGACTATAGGGGCAGTATTTGATGACACACTGTGGTCAATGGCATCTTTCAATAACCATTTAGTGTATCTTTAAAGGAACAGTTCACCCAAAAATGTAAGTTCTGTCATCCTTTACTCACCCTTTACTTGTTTCAAACCTTTAAGAGTTGATTATGTTGAACATAATAGCAGATATTTAGAAAAATGTTGGAAACCTGTAACCATTGACTTTCATAGTATTTGCTTTTTCTTCCTTAGGAAGTCAATAGTTACAGGTTTCCAGCTCTCTTCAAAATATCTTCTTTAAGACAATGTACAACACAGTTTGGGATAGTTTTTTTCTTCTGATGAACAGAAAAATCATATTTAGAAGAATGTAGGAAACTGAAAGCAACTGACTAGGACATAAATGTTTTAGGAGGAACAGAAGGAAGAAATAGAAAATCTTACAGCTGAGCAAAGGCCTAGATTGCTCATTTTTAAACATGGTAAAAAAACTAGTAATAAAGTAATGCATGTTTTTTTACCACATTCTAATGCAGAGCAGTGGTTCTCAACTAGTTTGGCAATGTGACCCACATTTTACCAAAGTCATTAATCCTGTCAAACCTTTATACGTTTCTTTCTTCTGTTACAATTTTCTTTCTTCAATCTATCTTCATTTGTTTTCAACCAAAGAAGAAAATGCATAAAGGTTTGGAAAAACCTGAGGTAGAATAAATAGTGCTGCCAACACAATCTCTTACTTGTATTCCTCTGTGGCCTTGCTTTTCTCATTGGTAGGTTTTGATTGTATTTTGCATTAATAGACTGAAATAAAAAAAACTGTTACTGTTAAGAAGAATACTAGTCCATATCAATGTTTGATATTAAGCACACTGCATTATGTGTGTCTGTAGTTGATCGATGTTTGGTCAGGTAAACTAAACATTTGCCTAATGTGAGAACATCTAAAGTAACTATTTTATAGTCGGATCAGGTAGAAAATAAGTAACAAATGCACTTTTTTCACTTGTAAAAAATACACACAAGTCAGGCATTCATTTTCCTTCTGCTTAGTCTCTAATTATCAGAAGCTGCCACAGCGGAATGAACCGCCAACCTTTATAGCATATGTTTTTTTATGCAGTGGGAGCCCTTCTAGCTGCAACTCAGTAGGAAACACCCTTACACACTCATTCACACACATACACTACGGCCAATTTAGTTCATCAATTCCCCTATAGTGCATGTGTTTGGACTGTGAGGGAAACCGGAGCATCCGGAGGAAACCCACGCCAACACGGGGAGAACATGCAAACTCCACACAAAAATGCCAACTGACCCAGCTGGGCCTCAAACCAGAGACCTTCTCACTGTGAGGCCATAGTGCTAACCACTGAGCCACAGTACTGCCCGAATCAAACAATATTTTACTCAAAAACTGCAGAAAACTTTCTTTACAACAGACTAACTCTCTTTAATGCACTTGCAACAAAAACAAAGCATTTCTGATCTGACCCACAAGATGGCAGCATTACACTGAATAAAATGTATTTGTCTCTAATTTTGTATTTAAGCCACCAGGTCACTGGTCTAGACGTCAAACCCATTTTGGGTTTTGAAACACCATCCTAAACTATCAGGTGTGAGATATTAAAATTACATAAAGCACAAGCATTTCAAACTTTATATCCACCAATTATACAAAGTAACACTGGCTGACATGAACTAAATACTCACACAGCATGCATTCATCTTCATTTCAACATTTACTATTTTGTATAATCTGACCAAAAAGGAGAAGCTAACACATCTCTAAAAATGCTTAGGTTTTATTGAAATATCCAATTTTTGCAAATGCTTTAAGACCATCAAAATAAACCTGTTTTTACAACTATTCTTCATAACAAACACACATCGAAAATGTAAATAAACACATGCACACCTACAAATCAATAACTGCCGTATAAACCATTGAACATTTTTAGCTGCACATTTTTAGGGTCGAGTTACTTTAAAGAATCTAAAATTACCATTATTCCAATGAGATGATATGATTAAGTTGATTCTAAATACCACAATAATCCACTAATGGCTATTTTTATGTGATCATATGTATAATATTTCTAAAAACACTTAACATGAGAGTTAAATAAAACATTCATAGCTCCATATACATATAATCAACACCAGAGAGCAAGACATTTTCCTAAACAGCACACATATTTCCAATGCATCATGAACGTTAATAGCTTATCACTCTCTGTTTCTGTTTCTGTTCCTGATGGCTAATATTAACAAATGAGATGCTATGATAACGCCCTAATATTTTTAAAATCAGTGCATTACAACCACAAGCTCAAGATAAAAACAGCATCACAAAATAATCAGATATCGTCTATATTTTGCACACAGAAACACCTGTGTTAGATGGCACACGTGCACACCTGTGTTAAAGTAATGCTATAACTGACATCTTCAGTTCTTTCTACACCACCGCCCCGCTCTAACAGGAAACTCTCTGTGTTTCCTTCTGCCGATTGAGAAAACTTTCTGGAACAATTGTTGCGTTCAGAAGAGCAATGAGCTGCCAAAACAATCTCTTGTTTTTATTCCTCTGTGGCTTCGCTGCGCTCACTGGTAAGTTCTGATTTTATTTAATATAGATGTGTGAACAGACTAAAGATAAAAATCGCTTTCGCGTTTAATTCAGTGATTTTAGTGAGAAAATCTGATGTTGAGATCAAAAGTTACAATGTGATTTGAATGTATTTAGTATTGTGGTTCATATTAATGTGTGGATGCTGTAAATATTGCAGTGTTTTATTGTAATAGTAAGCTCCTGTGTGTAATTAACAATTTTGCTGTAACACTTTAGATTAATGGTCGATTACTTAATGTATTTATTAACATGATTATTAAGTATAAATATTGTTGTATTAATTATTAATCATAGTTCAACATTTACTAATGCATTATTAAAATACACAGTTGTGCTTGTTAATGTTAATTATTTTAATGATTGTTCAAGTGAGTTACACTCAAACAAAAGACTTTTGTTGCTTGTTAAACTATTTAAAATGAGTTGAAACAACCTAATTATTTTTCGGAGATTAGGGACAAGTTATTTACGTTCAAATCAACTTAAATTTGTAAAAACAATTAAGTTAGCGTAATCGGTTTGTGTTGAAACAACATGAAGGAATTGTGTGAAACCTAAACATGAACTAACATTATTAAAATTAAATATCCTTAACTAACATGAACAAATATGAACAAATACCGTAATAAATGTATTACTAATTGTTTGTTCGTCCTAATAAATATATTAACTGACATAGTTTTAACCATTTCGCTAATTAAAAATTTTGCTACTTTTTTATGATCACCAAAGATTCAATCAAAGACTAATGAGAAATAAATATTTAAAAAATGTTTGCACACTGTAAAAATTTTATTTAGTCATGGAAACATTTGCTTTTAGGTAATTATTATAAATTATTACACTGCGTTAATAGTATTACAACTTAATATTTTAGTTTATACATGCTGTTTTGAGTCTGTTTAATGTAATTCAAGTGAAACTGATTGAGTAACGTTATTTAAGTCAACTTAAATTTAAGACAACCATGTAATTTTTTACTATAGCCACTTTTACTTAGTTTTTAAGAAGAATTTGTAGTGTCGCTTACATGCAAACTGATGGACTAAAAGTCGGCTTGTGTCTACCTATTATAAAAAAATAACAATAATTTATAGTCTATTTGCAAAAACAGATGAAACATGATTTATAAAAGTATGTGTGCACTCAAAAAAAAATGACGCTTGCTATTTGCTGAAACTGCTTATTTTAAATGAGCTGAAACAACACAATTCTTGACTTTTTTGGTGAACAATTGAATTCTGTTATTGTTTTCAATCCACTTAAATTGGTAAAAACTAAGTTAACTTAATTCCCTCATGTTGCGAATTGTGTGGAATCCAGCATTTTTATAGTGTGCTTGAGTTTAAATGGTTTGATAGTTGGTCGTAGGTTTGAATACCGGCACCGGCTCTATTGGGTGTGTGTTCACGATGTGTGCTTGTGTGTTTACCACTTTGCTTGTGTGTGGATGAGTTTAATGCAGAGCACAAATTGCACGTAAGAGTCACAATATTCTTGGCCATATGACACAACCTTCTCCTTTCCTATTTAAAATCTGAGTTCCCAATTTTTGCAAATGAGCTCATTAGATATACACTGCTCTGATGCTTTCATAAAGACGCTTTAACCACATTTTTGAGTTCACACTTTAAAATGGAATGCACATGATGTATAGTTTGTCAAGATACATTCAGATTTAGACAAAAATAACTATAAATGGAGAGCACAGAGAAAATATACATGATTATATATGTTGTTTTTCTTCTTTCCTTGTTCCTTTTGTATTTTTATTTTGTATATTTTTATTTTTTTCCACTGCTGTACCCATTGCATCTGTGTATTTATATATTTTTCTGTATTGCTGTATGGCCCAATATGCATTTTATTTATTGTGTTACTTTATTTATTTTATTATTATATATTTTTACTTGTATTTTGGCCTAAACATTGTTCTTGATGCAATAATATATAACTGTTCTACTTGATTCAGAGGAAGAAAATGAGAACTAATTTAGTTTTCTCCTGATTGGTACTAGTGATGTCTTGTGATTCTAATGAGCATCAATAAAACAATATTAAACTATTAAAATATATAACATATGTACTGAATAACCACCAAAACATCCTAAAACAATTACATTACACAAAAAAGTACTTTTAAAAGAAACAAGGATCTTAAGATTATTATGTTTCTCACAGTCACAAGTTTTTTTCTATTAAGAACTGATAACTGATCTACTAGCATTACTGTGAAAACGCTTTTGTTAACACGGTCTGAAAGAAAAATCTGAATTTTAGAATAAGTTTGAGACAAAAGTCTTTTTTTAACAAAAGCTTATATATTAAAATTTAATAATAATTTAATTCATTTACTCCAGTATCGTCTTAATTGTGTAGAACACTGACAATATGTTTATTTATAGCATGTTGGTTCAAATAGGTTTAAAGGTAAACATACAGTGTGTGTGTGTGTGTATGTGTGTCTGTGTGTGTGTGTGTGTGTGTGTGTGTGTGTGTGTGTGTGTGTGTGTGTGTGTGTGTGTGTGTGTGTGTGTGTGTTATTTTTTGTCGTTTCCTAACATTGAACATAATTTCGCTGTTTAAATTGGGGTGTTTTTTTAGAAATTCCCCATTGTGAAAATGTATAGCTTCTGTTTAACTGCACACCCTGTACATGTTAAGTAAGTCCTCTTAATATTGTTTATAACCAGTAATGAAAGGAATAGAATTTAAAAATGTAATTGAACTAAAAAATTAATTCAAAGTATTTTAAAAAAGCCAACCCGAAAAATCCACTTCATGCTAATTCCTCATATTATTTAGCAGACACTTTTAGAAATGTGGATAATACTGTAGAAGCACTTCAAATCCGAAAAGCATGTGGATGGAGAAGTGTTGGTCAGCTTTAATTTTGTGCTTCTTTTATCCAAAAGAAATGAACAGATACTGTTGGTTTCCAATAAAATAGACAACGCTATTTGCTTTTTAAATTTAAAGGGGTAGTTCACCCTATCGTTTCTTTCACTCGTGAACTCAAAGGAAAAAAAACTGGAAGAATGTCAAACCAAACAGATCTCGCAAACCCAATAGTGTAGATTTGTGAGGACCTAATTTAACCCTTTAACTGGGTTAATGTTTATAAATTTAACAAAGAGTTCATGTGCATAATTGCTTAGCATCTGAACACATTTTTGCAGGAATACAGCTATTTGTGCATGCACCTTAAGCTAAAAGATGACTTTACATGTCACTGATCTGTTTCGTCTCAGAGCATGAAAACTGAACAGCACAAGATCTATTTGCATTCTTAAAACATTAATAAATAAAATACAATTACTAATATTGATATAACAAATAATATTGATAAATCAAATGCATCTCATGCTGCAAAAGTAAATTTACATGTTTTTACTTCGCAGATGAATGACTTCTGGAAAGGTGCAGGCATGTGGCGCAATAACAATTTTATCTCAATTGTTGTTTATTCGTAATCATTGTTGAGGCCAACATTTTGTTTAGTTTAGTTTTAGTTTAAACTTGATTGTCCGTTCTGCTTGGCACAGAAAATAAATTTGTCTTTACATTGGATTTAAGACAACAATTGCATAAATACAACAATCCCACCATAACAACACTCATCAAGACAACAACATATGTTTAAAATTTAAAAAACAAATTAGCCCCATACATATTACTGCACATCATTCTTGACAACCACCTCATTCGCTTCAAGCAGTGATCCGATTTAAAACAACAACTGCAATTAGGATAAATGACTTTTTATAGGCGACTAAATTTTTGTGTAAGTCAAAACTAAATTTTAATTAATTACACAGCCATACTAGCTGTTATGGTGGACTCGTAGCAAACTTGACTTCAAGTGACTTCAAACTCCAAATGTGCAGATCTAACCTAACAACATTTCCTTGTACTGTAGTTTTGGCGACGTGAACATCCAAACATACTATAGCAGCCGCTCCCTTTGTAACGTTTCCTTCTGCTCTCTTTATAAATGCTGGGATGCCAGACAGAATCTTACTGTCAAATAAGTCAAACAAAAAAATAACAATATAATAAGCAGGAAACCTTACAAAGTTATGATCATTGGGAATAAACTCTCCAAAATACCATCATTTCCCACCCTCAATCGTGTTTGGAAATTAAATCAGGAATCAAACAACTAAGAAAACTCCATTGCGAACATCAAACAAATACACACTCATATAACATTTCAAGTAGGAATCAATTTGAAACAAACACAACAAATCAGTCAAGCAACAAAAGCTCATCCAGTCTTTGCATCATCACAAAAATAGTTGAATAACACAAGCATCAATAGTATGTCCATATGTGTTGGTAAAACTTGAGGAGAGAATGATAAAGTTTGACAGAGCATTCATTTTTTTTGGAGGTAATTACAGTCAATTATTGGAGGGGACATTTTTAAAAAAAAAGACACGTCCACTCCGTCCATGCTAATTCTCTGCCCTTGAGCTATTCATTTACTCCAATAGTTAGCATAATAAGCAAATGAGCCTCAGTATCTTTTTTGGTTATTGACATTCTTCTAAATACTTTACAAAAAGGTCTTAACAGGATTGGACCAACCTGAGATTCAGTAAATGGCGACAGAGTTTTCATTTTTGAGTGAACTATCCCCTTTAATGATTTGGCATGTGCTTTTATTTGGTTAGATTTACAAACTTGAGGGCAACAGAAGAAACTAAACCACCATAGTGAGCAGTAGTAGATCACATGCACTCAAAAACACATAAATGTTTTGCTTTTTTAAACTATTTGTGTAAAATAAGCTTAAACAACACAATTCTTGAGATTTTAGGTTTAATCTACTTAAATTTGTTAGCCCATGTCCTAACAAAATGCAACGTGCCAAGATTCTAGAGACATGCAATTTGTCTGTCTGAACCCAATATGATGCAACAGAAACATTTATAATACCAGCCTTTCATTTAATACAAGCCACCGCACTCCCAATGAAATGGTAAAGGCTTTTAATGTAATTAATACATATTAAACCTCTTTAACATTATTAATAGACTTCTAAATGACTGATGTCGTTGGTTAGCACAGTTCTGCCTTTCATTCTCAAACCCTTTGCTAGTTACTTCATTTTCAAGACCTAAGGGGAGCTATCTGAAACTGTTTTCAGTAGTATGGCAATAAAATTCACATACAATTGTATTAAAACTCACATTGGGAGCATTTAATACTGAATTAAGCACATAATCAGTACCTGAGGTGATCATTATTTTAGTAATACCCTCAAAAACAACTTTAGCTGCTTGTTTAAAATACATTAAAACAAAACAATTCTTAAGGTTTTTTTCAGGGATAACTTAATTGTTTTATCATCAATGCATATTAATCTGTAAAAACAATTAAGTTAAATTGGTAATTGATTTGTGTTGGGACAACATGATGGAATTGTGGAACCCAGCATTTTCTACAGTGTATATTATACTGTTGTTCTGCCGTTAAATGGAAAAGATACCTTTTATCGCACATTGTGGTGCCGTGTCGGATGTAGTAAGGACACAGTGTTAACTTAACCTTTTTGTTTTGGAGCAACTTGAATGATTTGTGTGAAACCCATACATGTTTTACAGTGTATGAGCCTTTAAAGCCTGTTGAGTTCTATCAAATGCTAATATCATTTTACTGATTACAGACTCAGCACAGACACGTACAGAACATTTACTAGAAGGAAAACCCTACAGCATTAATGGGAAAACAACAAACAATGAAAAACCTGCTGATATCAGATGGGCCTTTACCTACAGTGATGGAAACACAACTGAATGGAAAAAAGGATCCAAGAAAAAACCTCCAGCAGGATTAACAATAGAAGAAGACGGATCTTTACGATTTAAAAGTGTTCATCTGAGTAACACCGGCACATATAGATACAGTGCTTTTAATAAAGGTGGCACACAGATTGGTGATGAAACAGTGGAACTTAAAGTTTATGGTAAAATATTCACATCCTTCCAAAACATAACAAAATAAGACACTGCATGTTTCTGTAGGAGTTCCTTAAGCTGCAAATAACCATCATGTTTCTATTACAGTGAAGGCTCCTAAACCTACTGTGGAGATCAACTGTACTGCATCTCAAGGAAATGTAATACTCCACTGTAAACACCTTGGAAACAATAAAGATCTGACGATATTCTGGTATGAAGACGGCACGAAGAAGCTAGATGAAAAAAAATCTGATCTGACCTTAAAATTGTCTGACGTGAAGAATAAAGAGTACGCATGCAATCTGACCAATCCTGTAAGCAGTGCACTAAGTGACAAAGTTTCAGCCTCATGTAAGTCATATTTATTGCACATTCTTATTCCTGATAAATCAATTTATAATCTTTATTACAAATATAACTTCTTAATAAATGCTCTTGTTGACCACAGAAAACACCTATTTTTAGGCTTATTAACAGCCCTGCTTTTAGTTACTCAGTTTCATACTCACCCTTAAACCTGTTTAAGTCAATTTTGGGTGAACTATCCCTTTAACTGCACACGTTCTCTGGTAGAATTGATGGTTTACCAATCGACTGAGCAGATCTGTTCATGATTTCACTTTTGTTTTATTGCACTGGTTTTTGGTCTGGCCTTTTCCTATTTTCGCAGCTATAGCTGACGTACAATCACAAAACACTGACAGTAAAGCAAGAGTATTTTTTAAGTTCAAGCTGACTCTCCAAAAACTGTGTACAACCTGTAGAAACTTTCATTATGAGTCAAAAAGCAACTAATTAGTTTAGTTTTTTAGCATATATGGATTTCTTTGGTTGTTACCAACGTCCCAAAATTTCAAGTCAAGAGAATCTTTAGAAATATGCTTTTTGGGGAAATGATAAAAAGTTTAATACTTATTTCCCCATCTTTTCTATGAGAAAAAACTTGGATTATTCAAATTATGTGCAGCTTTTCCTCCATCTAATTAGTAAACCATCTGCATTTTGTATATTATTGTAGATATATGCTGATTGTTTTAAATTAATACAATATTGGCCAGTAAATATCTGGGGCTGATATATGTATATATGTATTATAGTTTTCACTGATGCACTATTTCTTACTGACTTCATGACAACTGTCCTATCTTACAGGTAGTTCCTTTCCTCCTACACTTTTTGGATTTGATTTTTGGATCATGATTGGGATTTTAGCAGGTGGAGGAGCTCTTTTGCTTCTGCTGCTTACAGTTCTCATCTGCTGTGCATGTCGAAGCTGTAGACGCAAGAAGCACCGACTAGGTATGTTTTCATCATCTTTAAAATAATGAGATAAGAATGTGGAGTTTTAGCAGTTGTTGTCGTCAAACATGAAAAATTTACAGAATATTCCTTCAATGTACTAATGTGCACCTTTTATTGTAAAAATTATTGTGAAAAGAGCTATACAAATAAACTTGAATTGAATTGAATTCTTGACTGCCAAATCTCAAATATACTTGTATAAATACAACAATGCATTTTAAATGTACCTATAAAAGTTTGTTTTCTCTCTCAAAAACTGGGTAATAGTTTTAATGATCTATTTTTAATACAGGAACACAAAGTCTTTACTGCAGTTTGATATGTATTAGATACAATATGTTGACGGAGTCAGGTTCTGAAAATAAACCTAAACTCTAAAATATGTAATGATTAACATTTGCATGTGATGAATTTGTTTAGGTTTTCTATAAGAATGCATTTGCCAAATCTCTTTGTTTAGACGGCACCAGATCTTGAAGACAGATCTAACCAGTATCCTGTATGCAAATGTCTTTATGTGGCTTTCTGAGACATTAAGCAGAACTGTCAGCATTAAAAACGGAATTTCTAAGAACTAACAGCCGCGACTATTAAAAATAATCAAATCTGACAACAGAAGCATGAATAACGGCATTGTGAGAAAGTTGCAATCTTGAAAGTGCAATGTTTGCATATTAACATTTTTATTTAGCAAAATTAGCATTTTTATGTTGCACCTGTAATCAATAGTTTTTAAAAAGCATTTTACATTTTATATTATATGTATTTTATATATATTATTATATATTTATACTTTACTATATTGAGATTACTTATAGTGATATATTTATTATATGAGATCACTTATATCGTTAAATATATTGTTATCATATAATGGACTACTTTAATTGTGATATATATCGTAATTATATAAGATTACTTGACATCATGACATTAATATCATTCCCATATGAGATTACTTGTATCGTGATACATATCGTTATCATGAGATTACTTAAATTGTGACATACTGTTGTCATACGATGGTACTTATAACGTGATATATATTATTATCATATTAGATTACTTATTTCGTTTGAGATTACTTTCACTGTGATATATATTGTTATCATATAAGATTACTTATGATATATATGGTTATCATAAGAGATTTCTTGTATTGTGATATATATCGTTATCATATGAGATTACTTATATTGTGATATTTATCGCTATCATAAGAAATTACCTATATAGTGATATATATCATTTTCATATTAGATTACTTATATCGTGATACAAGATTTCTGTCATATCGACCAGCCCTAGAGTACTTGTATTACTTGTAACATCTGAAACATCTTGTCTTTGCTACCTTTTAGATGTGGAAGAGTTCAGATTGACAGAGCTTCAACCTCCATATAGCAATGGTACAAACAGATCCAAACAAACTGCAAGAGGTCAACCGGCGCCCCCTATCCCACAAGAAGAGTCCATGCACTGTAACCCGTCTCCACAATCAACGCCACAGACACAACCTCAACCCAAAGCTCAGATCCGCGCTCGACCTCCACCACCGCCTCAGGACGAGGATGAGGAAGACCCACCGCCCTTACCTCGCCCGAGGAATAAACAACACCGGAAGAAACACCAGGAGCCCTACCGTCCAATGGAATGAGATGCCTGCGTGTTTACTGAACAATAGCAATATGAGAATTTCCTGCAATTACTTTTGTAAACTAACAGCGTTACTATATGGTAAGAGCTCCGTTTAATACATAGTTAGCTTACAATAAAAATCTTTTTTTTTTTATTTTACCCAACAAAGTTTAAGAACTTACAATGCCAAAACTGTTCACATAGAAAAGTAGATGGCGATTTATATTGAAAGCTATGACTGCACAATTTATCAAATTTTTTTAATCGCTATAATAGTATTTGCAATATCTGCATCGCAGAGAGGTGCTATAAATTACATTTATTCCATGCTGCATGCATAGACTGTTTTATTTACATTTGACCAATCAGATAGGGCCTTATTATCGTTAGACTTACCTCCACAGTAGTGCCGTTCTGCTATTGGCTGAAGTGGCTCATCGATGAACCTAGAGCTGAAAATTAAATAAATAAAAAATAGTCGAAATGAGAGAGGAAATTTACAACAGCAAATAAGAATCTGAATATCTGCCAAAGTTTTAATAATTCAGTGTTTTAAAGACTAAATGTTTGCACCTTGCTTGAGTTTGATTTGATAATATCAGAAAAATATCAGTTTATTTTAGTATGATCATTACATAAATAAATTACTTAAAAAAATAGCAAATAAAAAAACATTTCTTGAATTTTGTTACTGCAGTATTTAATATTGCATATCACATTTTTTCCAAGTATTGTGGCCCTACTTAAAAACTCCATAATTATGAGCACCTGCAACTTGTGCGCTATATTTGTCATAATTTACAATGCAAATTTAGCAAAGACCAAACTCTTTTATTCACTAAAATCAAAACAATTTCCATAAAGTACACATAAAACCATTTCCCAAACTGTGTTTTTGCTTTATGCCGTGGTCACACTAGAGTTTGAACATGCGTGATTCTGTCATATAGAGCTGTGAAAAGGGGCGGGAATAAACAAAACGATTAGACCAAAAAAAAGTGAGCGATTGGTCCATATTTTAAATTTCTGTCCAGAGAGGTGATGTTTTGGTCTTTGATTGGTCTCACGCAGTCACATGATGCGACTTTGCAGGGTTAACCAAGCTTGAACTTTGCAATGCAGCAAACTTGTAGCATGAGCTTGTGTTTCCGGTCTGACGCATTCACGTGCATATAAATGGAAGTCTATAGGGTGCAAAGTCCAGTGTGACCGTGACTTTACTCTAAATCACAGGTGTTAAACTCAGTTCCTGGAGGGCCGCAGCTCTGCACGGTTTAGTTCAAACCCTAATTGAACACACCTGATCAAACTAACTGAGACCAACAGGTTTGTTTGAAACCTACAAGTGAGTGTGTTGAAGCAGGGTCGGAACTAAACTGTGCAGGGATGTGGCCCTCCAGGAGTTTGGCACGCCTGCAACACAATGCTATGCAATGCTTTTTTTTTTTTTTGCCACCTTAATCTAAAAGAAACATCATATCTAATGTATTTAACATATTTGTAAAAACAATTACCTTTAAAACACGATGAATGGAAAACAGTTTGCAAGCAAAAGTGACAGCATTCATTATCATAACTATAGTCATAACTATTGTTTCTATTGTTTCTAATAGCATCACAACTATTGCTAACTATTGTTTCTAATAGCATCACATTTTCTGGAAACTCGCTATGAAAACAATCACTCAGTCCCAGTTCAGAGGCTGCATGCATCCTTTGAAGGATGTCCGTAGGATGTACCTAGGAAAGTTTTGTCAAAATAATGTCTCAAAATTAGAGGATATAACACAAGGATTCTTCAAGTCCTGGACTATGCCAAGCTATATTATATCAGTCAGCTATATTGTAGGCACAATATGTAAACAATGGCACTGAACCAAATGAGATTCACATATTTTGCTAGGTTATGAGCTGTAAAGAACAAATATTATTGTCTTAAAATTTTCTGTTAAATAAGTGAAATATTAGTCTTATTAATTAGTTAGTTTGGTTAGTGTGATTTCACCAAATAGGACTTTTTGCTAGTGTAACATCTATGATGATCCTGGAACAACATTCCAATCAGAATTCTCTGCTGAAATATCCAGCCTAAGCTGGTTGGCTGGTTTTAGCTTGTCGACCAGGCTGGTTTTAGAGAGGTTTTGGTCATTTCCAGGCTGGTTTCTAGCAATTTCCAGCCTGTTCTTAGCTGGTCAGGCTTGAAAATGACCAGCTAAATCCAGCTAAAACTAGCTTGTTTTAAGCTGGTTTTAGCTGGTCATCTCCCAGCCTGACCAGCTAAGACCAGGCTGGAAATGGCTGGAAACCAGCCTGGAAGTGGCAAAAACCCCTCTAAATCCAGCCTGGTCGACCAGCTAAGACCAGCCGGCTGGTTTAAGCTGTTTCTTCAGTAGGGTTAATGGATATGTTTACCGTTTATGTTAAGTTTAGACCTATGGTTAGGGTTATGCACTTGATTGTTCTCCACCTTTTACTCCCCCTTTTATTTATGGTTGAGTTCAAGGGTAGGGAATAGGTCTGGAATGCATTTTCCAAGAAAAATTATGTTCCAGGATCAACATAATGTCAGATGTTAATCCAGGATAACATTGTACTTGGCAAAATCATGGCCACCAATATCTTAATTAACACTGTATATTTTACCACCTATTGAATTTAGTTTGCCAAAATAATCCAGTTTTCTGCTAAATTAAAAACTTTTTAACATGTTCATACATAAATGGGGCAAGGTGACCATATTAAAGGCAGGTTGTAAACTTTGATTGGATTTCAGACAATACCCTGTCACTTTAAATATCAGTCAGCCTCTCACTAAGATTAAATAGCCTCTGAATTGCGACACAGGTAAAGTTTACTAGTCTATTTATATCTTAGTCAAGTTAGGCCTATATTATGCAATTAACGTTAACAGTTAACCAGTCCAGTGTCAGCTTTCCTAACTTTTGTAACGTAAATTATTAACGTCAAAAATCCATTTTAAACAACAACATAGTATCAGCTGCTTACCTGTTTATTGGATGTATTTTTCGTATATCCATCTTTTGATATTGGGATACTTTAAAAGTTGTTTTAGTGACATTTAAACACTGAGGAGATCACGACCGCATCAGATTCATCCGCGGCAAACAGCGGGGCCGAACCACAGCTCATGTCATGGCGACAAAACAATGTTCCTCCGCGAGTTACTTGTAGATTTCAACCACTAGAGGGCCAAACGCAACAACCTGTAGCTATGCTAATTATTTATTGCTTTATTTAAAACTAAAAAAAATACTTTTTTGCAAAACTTTTAAAATGTAATTCAATTTTCAAAAATTGTGCAGATTTTTTTTTGTGTTGTTTCAACTGTTTTTCTTATTCGGCCAATAACTAGGCTATAGAATTATATATTATAGTTTCGCCAAATATTCTGTGAATCCCTAAAAATAATGTTTTGATGCAACTGTGATATTTTATCACAGTTTTATCCACTTGAGGATTGTTTTCTTTGCCTTTATGGCACAAATACTGCTGTCTTTCATCTGATACTGAAGCATGTACTATTTCTGAGCTATGGACAAAGGGTTTTCAAACTATTTTTTATTTTTTTTTATAAAGGGCAAGAACCAAACTTGATTGAGGGTGGTGGGTGAAAGTTAAATATGACAAACTGTATTATATTAAAGTGACCATGGGTAATTTCCTAATTAATTTAATAGTATAAAAATATAAAACATTGTTTTATATGAATTAATGCAGTATATATATATATATATATATATATAATTATTATTATTATTATTATTATTATTATTATGCACTTATTATTTTTAAAAACAAAAACAATCCCATTTATAATAGAAGGGAGTTCAATGCTGAATACACACCCACAAGGCATTATAATTTGGGCATCTGTTTTAGAGTAATATATATATAATTTCAATGGTTTTTAAAATAAGTCCTTTTAAATGTGCACCAAATAACCAGCTTTTCTCTCGTGTGTCTTATGCAAATTGCTGTAAATATAAGTGAGGTTGTATTTTCTTTAGGGGAGCAATTTTAAAGTGCATCTTTAAATAACAAACTAATGTGTACTTTGTATTTGAGCCTGTTTCCTTAAGTGTGTATATTCATTTTATCTCTATGTTTGAGAGATCACCAAAGGCAGAAATAAAGACAAATATATATTTAATGTTGCATATCTGGCTATTCTTATCATTTAAACTGTGTTCAGATCATTATTTTTGCATTATTTCTGAAGGTTTAGTTCTCGTACGGAGACAATAGAAATGGGTTTTAATGGTGTTAATCAGAGTGCAGGAGTGCAAATGCAAAAGCGTGCTTCTCTGTAGTTTTTGTGATCTGTGGTGACTTTTCACACCTTAAGACTACATATCAGGCCTCAGGGATGTGGTTAACTGCATCACCTACGTGTCAGCTTTTTTGTATTGTCTGTTTTCCTGTGCGTGGGAGATGTGGCCTCTTAAGATAAACCTGCAGAAGAAAGCATTATGAAAAAAAGTAGGAGTTGAAGACAAAACACAGTTCTCTCTAAATCAGCTGATCTCAATCATTGTCTGCATATTTCATATGTTTTTATGCTTGAGAGGTGTGTTTAATTCAAGTGTAAGTGCCATGAAGTGGACATCACAGCATACTCTGTCATGATTCCAGTGTATTCCAAGGGCGTAGATTTACTCTTGACATGCATTGAACAGCATAAATTCTGTTTCACGCTTTAAAAACATAAATAAAGTACTTCATAATTTAAAAAAAAATAATAATAATTCAAATAACAGTCACGTCCCATGCTGTAAAAGTCACTTCACATGATTTCACTGCAGTCTGGCTTTGAAGAGGTATGAACGTACAGAAATTTAGAGAGACGTGTGTGATGGAATTTAACTGTATTATCCTGTTTTCATAGTCATGGAGGCCAAAATCAAAACTAAATTTTGATTAAATGCACAGCAGTTAATAGTATTACGGTGAACTAGTAGCAAACTTGACTTAGTGCATGTGTTGATTAAGAGTTGAAGGAGTATTACTTTATTTTGAAGTCGATTTAATTATTGGTAGGGACGTTTCAGTAATTGGTGGATCATTTTGGTGGGGACATGTGTCCTCCGTCCATGCTAATTCCATGCCCTTTGTGTATATTCAACGGGCTATATGCACAGCTAGTGTTTTTCAGCCAATGATGAACTTCCTGTGAAAGCTTTATGCGATTATTTTCAATTTTAAAAGTTTCATTTTAAAGCATTTATGTTGTGATCTCATTACAATACATCCAGTTAACCAGACTTGAGCATTCATTTGTTTGTTAATGCGTAAAAAGAAATGAAAGACCATTTAAATGCATGCGCCATCAGTAGCCACAGGCCAGAAACTCCTTTCAAATACTGGGGTAGAATTAATTTCCATGTTTAAATGCTGTGCTTCTTGTTTGATCTGATACCTACTTTACATCATATTTCAGCCAGGTAGTGAAAATTGCTGGTTTTTTCAGAAATCAGATGTTAAACGTGGTGATTTTGTATGGGATGACAATTAACTGGAAGCCCTGGGGCTGAAATTAAAAGTGTGTGTGCATATCCCCCATTCAAAAGTTAACATGCACAAGATGTGGCATCTATTCATATCATATTATCACGATTAAATAATTCACACTTCAGTCATATTGAAAATGCTGCAAATAGCCAATAGTATCTGGATGCAGCCTTTATGATGCAATCTGAGACTGCATATCTCAGAGATGCAGTGTCAGACACAAAGCACTCAATGGAGCTAGTGATGTCACTGTGACAGGTAGGGTTAGGGGTGGGGTTAGGTGGGCCCATTTAAAAGCATTGCATGCAGATTGCATCTGCACCGAGTCTGCAGCCAGACCCCTCTCCAAATAACTGTGCATGGGACAATTTACCAGAAATCTGTCCCTGTAATAAAAACGTAAATACAGTGAATAAAAAGTATTTCATCCCAAATTTTTGTAAATG